TATGAGTGACATTAGATTTATTAACATGACTTTTTGCTTGTGGTTCAACAAGCTGCGAAATATCATGGAACAGCGTGGATATACTTCTTTCATTCTACGTTTCTGCCTTGATATAGTATAGTCATTCTGTACTAACAAATCCCAAGAGAAAAACTTATATTCAGTAATAGAGGTCGTTTCCTGCGACTACACAAACAAAACTACATTTGCGACCGCAAATGACTTGACCCTATGCGGAGATATGCATTAGGTTCCCCGTCGCGGGCAAAACAAAGGGCTGCTTCGACGGGGATCACAGCTATTTAATTGTAGTACACAGTCAGTCTAGTAATACATGTCCATCATTGAAACGTATAAAATATATTGTCGGGTTGATACTGGGCCAAGTAAAACGAACGAAATATATTCTGAATTGTCGATGCTGTACCATTTATGCAGTAAATTCAATGAAATACTACAGTAAAACAAATTGATGCACACATGCCTTCAAAATCATATACCTAACTGAGGTAAAGAATAATAAATTGCATGTTTCTGTTAGGCCAATGATTTTCAGACAAAACAAGATGTAACTAATACCAACAACGAACGATCATGATCTCATATCTATAACATAAATAATCGTCTGATGCAATACAAATTATCATCTAAAACTTATAGTGAAATTTACTAGTTGATTTTAGCATCTTTGGTACATTATACAATCACGGTTCAATGGAAGATATGTTGTTGATATGGTTCCACCGATCGAGATATCCAGCAGTGCGACATATGCCAATAAAATAACTCTCACGCCGGCTGCAATATGTCCTACCCGGGACATCCTTTGTTTTATGTACTTGTTTATGTGCATATTTTATTTTAAATATATTGTTCAAATAAATTAATATATTTATTTTGTCTGGTGTTTTGTCTGTTCATTAGTTGGCCAATTCGGAAAATTAAAAAGCAACATGATAAAACAATAATTATTATTGACTGTTCTAAAAGACATTGATGTTATGAGGGGAGAAAACCGATCAACTCTGCAGCAATGAGGCATACTTTTATAACCATATCTATATACATCTATAATCCGTGTAAAATGGAAATTTGGCAATCAGCAAAGTTGTAAGTCACGTCACTTGGAGCAAACGGATCTTCATATCGTCACCATGCTAAATATCGGAAACCATCATCTAAAACGGAGTAGATAAACTATCCAATATTGACGTTATGTGAAAAGTTCAACGGTTTTCTCAGCTAAATCGATATTTACATGTTTCACATTGGATCATAACAAGATTGAACACGACTGCATTTTGTTTACTTCGGGATATCGTGCTGGGAATGGTATAAATGAACAGTTCATCGGATTGCTTTATCTCATCAAGTCGTTGAATAATAAAGTTTTAAATATTTCATAATTGTTGGACAGTGAAAGATAGAATACAAAAAGCGACATTCAAAATAAATATTGAGAACAACTTAGTCGTAGGAAAATAACACCATGCCCTCAGAAAACAACATATAACCAATAGTAAGATCTGAAAATATAAAGGTTGAAATTGCATATAAATACATTGTGTTATATGTCGTCATATCTGTGAGGCTACATCTTTAGCTAGAACATAGCCTTCCTTTATGACGCAATACATACTTTATTTTCGATAAAAATAATTTATTTGTTACAGTAAAGCAATTTTTGCTATTACGAAGATCAAATTTGAATATTAAATGAATAACACTCCACATCCACTTTTAATTCACATTCCACAGTAATTTGATAATTTGTTTTGGTTTAATTTCCTCGGTTAAAAATAGCGATAATTTATAAAAAAATTAAATCATCGAATTAGGCAAGCGCCAATTTGACATGTTTGTCACACCGATACATGAGTTGATAATATTACTTGACCACAGAAGCTTTCCTATGGTTATAGTGGAATAAATAGAAACAATATCCTTTTAAGGTCATTATTGAACATTTGCAAATAGATTTGATGTGGAGACGCCGTGGATACTAACTTACACCGAATTTCGGAGTTATAATTTTTTCAAAACGTAAAAAATTAAGTTATCGGAGAATGACAACCGCGCGGCCTTCGATCTAAATAAAAATTTTGTTAAAGACATTTGGATATATGTCGTTAGTAATGAGTATCTAAACATTTTATAGAGTTATTATAGATACTATTACAGCGTTTCAAATTAATATTTATTTCTAACCATAAAAAATATATACCATCTGCAACTTATGCTTGATCAAGTACGAAATGCCATATTTTAATGCAACTAAATTATATGTTTAGAAATATTCAATGTTTCATATTATGATGGAGCGTCCTTTTTCTTCGAGCTAATCTTCTGTCCCGTCATGCCCTATGCACATTTTCGGATTTATATTGACTTGACACGTCAAAGTGCAAAAATAAAACACTTTTAATTGGGATTTAACTTTTGAAGTACAGAATAATTGTTATTTTACTCAAATGGTCATTCCGGGCCAAGACAAAAAGGTGCAAGGTCAACACAATAACTATATAGCGCCAATTTATTTGATCCAGAATTTAAGACGGATAATTAGTTCACAAAAAACGAATATTCCAACTTTTTCGCATTGTAAAGTAAACAGTCGACCACACCAAAAAGTTAGTTTAACTTCTGATCTTCTACTAAATCCGATGACGTCATAATAATGACCGTACAAAGATTATGCGTAACCACGGAATCATCGAAGTTGAAAGCGTAACTACAAATTGGATTACAGTCTAGGAAACCAAAAGTATGATGTCGTTGTTTATGTTATATCACAATTGACGTTGGTTCTCACAGATCACCAAGCGAAAAAGGAAAAAAATATTTCTTCAAAATACATTTTCCCACGCAAATTTTTAAACCATATAACATATAAATGAGTAATAGGTTTATGGGGAAAATTGGTCTTTTAATTGTCAATACACCGTTACAAAGCATATCGTTGCGAACAGATGATGAACGTTTGCCGTGACGATAACCCTCGTACACTCACGCACATCTCTAAACTTAACTATTTATTATCTCTTCTCTCTTAAGACACAATCGAGTATGGGTTATTGAGGAGTCTCCATCTGAGATATGTATACACGAGTCATGTTTGATATTTGAAAACACAACCACGATGCCGCTCATTTGGGCGGTATACACAGATGTTTACTATATTATAGAAAAGAAAAGTTGAATGAGCATACCAAGTAATAGGAAGATCATTTTATATTACTTATTGTTATATTCAGTATCTTGTTGCTTATAACTAGCATAGTATTATTACGTAAAAATCGTATGCGAATTGTTTGGCACGTGACCATACAGCAAGATGACTACAGTCAATATAACTGAACAATTAGTATATGATAAGATTAGAAAAGTGATAAGAACAGGAAATACCATCCCGGCTGGGTAAACTCTTACTTGCAGATGATATAAGATCAACCTCAAATAAGATGACACTTCAGGTTTTGTGCACAATTGTCTAGTCTAGTCGTTAGAGAGTTGGATTCAACTATGGCTCGTAAGATAATAATCACGGGCTTAAAAGCCATTTCCATCAATTCAACACCGCGATGAATTGGTTGGTCAATAAGTACCAGATTGATTCCGATTTTTCCTCTATCATAACTACTGTATTTTCTGCAACGTGTAAAATTACCAAGACATGCATAAATTGATATCTCAACAAAATCTTATGTATGAATTTGACAAGAAACGTATTCTCTATTAATGAACAAACAAAGACTCAAAAATAAATACATTTTGTCACCTCTGTTGTTCTTTATCACATACCCCTAATTGTTTGAATCTGTGGATTTATAAAAACTTTTAAATTCATTGTTCCAACTGATAAAACGACCAATATAAAACACAATAAATAAGAGTGAGTCGATTTAAGAATCGATTAATGGAATACCACGCTTGGATGATGAGTCTTGATGACATCATTGACTGACTACATTGTAAAATACAAACGGACGAATACCCGGAATTGTTACAAACGATGATGAAAGATGATCCAATTTCGCGGACGAGAGACAAACCATACAACTATTAATTGTTGTTGTTAGAAAACTAAACAATTCGAGTTGAAAATAAAATTATATATAAAATCTAACATTTTTCAACCTTATAACACAACCTTCGATTATTGCTGGATCTGATTTATTCTAATCGTGTAAGTGAAGATTGTGTCTGTAATTATTCATCCAAATGCACGCATAGCTGATTTAACTATATATTGAATATTAGTAATAAAAAATTAGGAAATTATAGAACCTATATTTAGTTTGAACTTGATTTAGAATACGAATATTTTGATACCCCACGTTGAATTGCTAAATGCAACTTCTGCCAATGTGAGTTTGACATAGAATTTTGTTAGAGACGGATTACAAACGAGACAAACCGCTTATGACATACAATTATGATCATCTTTTTGCCTTACCAACAGAGTCAGTACCACAAAACAATTATCTTTATATTTTAATCAACAGTCAATGCCAATCATTTTATTTATGAGTATATCGCGATCCATTACTGTCCTGAAAGTCTGTACACATAGATGTGTGCCTCATAGTCAGGGATTCCATCGATCTGGAACCCAAAATAAGGGCGACTGAAACTTATCACGAAAAACGTTCTTACGTATGCTCATTTTAAAATTTAGGCTAAAATAACTAGTGTAATGCCAAATACAGCATCATTAACCACCACCACGACAAAACCTAAGGATCGCCACACTGACAATGCTTCATGCCTGTAAGATCGTGTTGCTTTTATGATGCCACAATAAAGCTTTGGCGATAAGACAAAAAATAGACAAGACCAACAGCACAAAGCTTCTTTTATGCAGTCCAAATAAGACAAAATAAGGACACGCAAGCCAAAAATCAGGACGCAAACTAAAAATAAGCCAAAAAGAAGGACAAATCTTAGAAATAAGGACGGTATGGAATCCCTGCTTATGGTCATAGAATAAAGCTACTCACGCGGTCGATTTTTAGATCCGCTGTCAGTTCTCACTATTGGTAGGCTTGCTCTCAGTCGAGATCCTCGACAAAATCCTGGATATGAACTTTCCACCGAAGGTACGAGATAGCCAAGTGAAGAAGATGCCTCTGACTGTGGTGAATAGCTAGCTCTTGATCTTACGTGGTATGGAGGTGGAAAAGCCTAAAATATGAATTTATAGTGCTGTAAATTCAGAAAAAAATTGTGTTAGCATTCTGACTAAGATTATGTGAACTGCATGCCATTGATTTACAGTTACACACATCTAGATCACACACATTAGTATAAATTACATTTGGTTTATATGCCATACTAACCATATGTAAAGAGATCAAAACAATATCTGGAGACTATTTAGATTTGTGATGATTAGGGTTTATATTGTACCAACTGGATGTAATTCACAAGTTACGCCAGAAACCTGCTTATAGATCCCATACTATATCGCACCAAGTAAGGTAAGTCTCCGTAATAAAACATTGTCTTACACCGGGATCCGATACAGAAACAAAAAGATTTTAATTCCGCAAGTTTAGGCTTTCTAAGTTTCCGATCTCTAGAAACTTATTTTGAGTGATTGTAAGTAAAAACTCTGTGGCAAAATTTAAATACAATCCAAAATCAAAAATAGAAACATTTTCCACTTGAACTGATACTTTATTGAACACAGCTTACATAAAATCACACATGAATTGGACACTCCAATTTGCCAATCTTATCAGTGAACGCAACCTTAATAGGATCATTTATAAGTACTATATAAAATGATGGCAATCAAAGTATACAAAGTCTAGACAATATAGGTAAATATCAGGTTATGTATATAGATTATATTCGAAACAATGTGATTCTATCAATCAAAAATATCATTGAAAATTTCGTAATATAAGTAACTGCACATTTTTCATACCAAAATGCCTCATTTTGATTATTTATTTTTTCGAAGAATCCTATAGAAAAGCAGCACTTAAACGTGAGAATATCATAGATTTGGAAGAAAATATTGTTTTCAGTTCTAAAAAAGATAATCCTAATTTACCACACTCAGAGTATTCAGACTTTTTTGCACTTTCATTGCAAAAAATATGGACAGAAGCTTCTATTTTTAAAAAGATTGGATTCTTTGCTGGTCGTCATTGTCTATGGTGTTCATCTCATCCTGGGATGAGTAGTGGCTGAAGCGGTAACCCAACGTTGGTCAGTCAATTCAATAATCAATCCTTACTTTTCCACACACAACAATAATACAACAATTGAAACAACAGGTTGGAATTTAAACGAGAAACGCGACACCAATCGGAAGATAATGTAACACTAACTGTTTAGAATTGTTCTATTCAAAACAATATCAAGTTACTACTGTCTTAATATTGATCAAGCAACATCAGGCATAAACCGTGAATAACGTTAATCTAGGAATGTTACATTTCCGGTATATATTATTCTCAAGCAATAAATCGAAATTTGATGAAAAGAATTCCAACAGACAAATATGTTAAGCCAAATAATTTGACAATCTCAATCATAGAAGGACAGTACGAAATCAAGATATCTACAAGCTTTACATGAATTTAAACATCTGTATATCGTATTTGATTGATCATAATGTAAAAATAAATCGTGATGAAACAAAAGACAAATCATTCGGAAGTAATAAAACTTATATTTATGTCATGTTTAGTCAGATAAAAAGAATGAATATTCAAACAAAATTATCAAATGACATGAGTTTGATCAAAGCCTTGAGTATTTCTCTTCTGAAGAAATCAGCCGCAGTTTCGAATTCACGGGGTAATAAATGTCATATAAAGCCGTGGGAAATTATTTTATGCTTATGTTAAATAAAAAATTGAAATGCCACCCAGGAGTCAAGGTCGTTTCTACTCTTATCGGCCCGGAAAAGAAAATAATTCAACATGAACACGGTATTTTAAATTGAGTCACCTAAAGTATACTAAACATCGCTTATCACTGTTTATGTTATTCATATATATACGAACGACAAAGACAAATGATAGTCTGGTGGCCAGATACACAAAGAATTTAGCCTTTGTATTTTGAGTGTCAAACTGTTTCCATATTTCGAGATAATTCCGTTTACATTTCTGCCCTTTACACAGACCGTAGTTATAACTTATTATAACTTATATACAAGATTTTAGTTACAATACCTTGTTATTCTGTTGCCTAAACTTGAACATTACGTAAAGGTATATTAAAACATTGCTTGTTTACTTGACAATAAACCAAATAAATTCTCGGTATTTCATGTGAAGATTAAAAAAGTATAATAAACAGCAGTGAAAATATAAATACATGTGAAATTAAAATATTACGTGACAAATTTTTATAAAAAATGAAGGCGTACCCACGTTGTTTAAAATAATTGATTCTTGTGAACCGACTTATTTTAAAGGTGAAATTTAGGGCCTAAACAAACACTATCTAGTTCTCATCATTGACCAACCATTTCAAAATTTTGGGTGGTCAGTTAGATATCAGTAACGCAAGATCAATCAAATTGCGCATTGTCAGAGACAGGAAGTCAAATGGGTTTTATCAGAGATATTTGCATCAGTTGTGTTTGCTATTAAGGTCAGTTTTCAGTAATATAATTCTGAAATTCATGTCACCTATTTCACAGTATATAGTCTAAGCTTGCATTAGGCAATTCTCCATTTAAAAATGTTCGACGCTCTTGTCTTGGCTCATCCATCAATATTACATTAGTTATCGTAATAAAAGCGGAAAGGATCAAGGAATTAGACCATAAATGGGGGCGTTTTATGAGCTTAACTTCAACTAAACCCATCAATGGAGTGTATGTTCTCATATCTCACGTGGTTGAAGTTAAAAACAAACACTTCATCGCCCAATATAGAATTATTGTTTATATTATGAATGCACGTTCCGCACGGTAGAAACCCATCTCTCCTGATTGTTGATGATCGGAGAAGAGTGTAATCGAATGCGCGCCAGAGCAATAAAAGAAAAACATTGTATGGTTAGGCATGGTGAAAATATGACTATATTGCACATACTTCCTGGGGTAATCAGAGTTTATGGTAGTGGGTTTCCTTAGTTCTGAATGTTCAAAAACGAGGTAAGACTCTATAATTAGTTGGTGGCGCCACCTACAAGCCCGTGGTAACGAGAAAAGTATTTTATCCATAGATAAAAATAAATAGATATACGTTTTACACACAAAAAAGCAAGCTCAATTTTCTGAAAATGCGATACATTTACATTTTAATAATAACTAAAGAACAATTTATATAAATATCCAGGTGATTCGGTCCACTCTCAATAGTACAGCACTCACGCATTCAACTTCTACGAATCCATAATGCAGAAGCACAGAAGAGGGAGAAGCAGTATGCGCAATGAAAATCTTCAGCACAAAAAACAATTTGCCAGTCAAAGAAGTGGTCTGATTCTGATTTTATCTGCCCTATGCCAGGGATAGCGAGACACTGACAAACGGTAATATCCAGATACTAACAACAATGCTGTTACAACGTGCAAAACGTTTATCAAATAACAATACCAATGATATATTAATTTTCATTGCAATTTGACTCGTAACAGAGGTTCCCATACAAATCATTTAACAATTTAGTAATTTTATTTTTGCCCTTCCTCGAATAAATTTCTGAATTCATAAAATTCCGATGGATGTAAGAAAATTCATATTGGTTATATTCTGTCACCACACCCCAATGAACTTGAGCGATTCGCAGACTGCGATAAATTAATTTTGCAAAAAAGTGATTACGAAAACCACAAAATCCGCCGCAAACTTTACAATTCGGATTCATCATTCATACCAGGAAAATATGGGCGTCAAAAAATGTGGTATTTTGTTATTTGCACCCGAATACACAGCGAACGCTTCGTCAAAGAAATATGAAACACATGCTGTTTTGGCTTTGATGGGTGTCTATCGTCCGGTGTAAATTCTCAACTTTAAGACCGTCAATGAATTTGATACAACACGAAAACGAGTCATCAAAGAAGACATGGATATAATAAAATTTAAAGGTTTCTCTAGAAGGCAAAACTACGACGTCTGAAATTCAACCAAGTGAACGCGCAAGGTGCTATAATAACAAACGTTCAAAGATTGGGTACGAGTGTACAGTAGTTTTCAAGCAGTCGTTTATTTAACTAGGTATATTTGAGGAATCTTTATTGACATTGTCATGATAAAGAAGTATTGAAATTTACGCTTCATCGAATATAATTACTTCCGTTCCCGCCAAAATATTTTGGTACTCCTTTGAAGTTGATCGAAAATAAAATTCCCCGAGTTTAAGGATGTCCTTGCGGTTTTATTAATGTGTCCGTCACGAGTTTCCAAGTACCTACAACTATTTTTGTGTGACATTTTAACCAAGCAACTGGATGACACACAAATGAAGTTGTCCACTAAACATCAGGTCAAATATGGTATATGAGAGTGACTGGGAGATGCACATTTTGTGATATTTTCGTTTTATAATACGAATATTCCATAACACGATCATTTGATTTTAATGTAAGTTGCGTCTAGTCATTTGGTCTAAACATTTTTCTGTTAAAAGCGCACAATAACGCAACCAGCTAACTACAACTACACAATAGCGAAGGGGCTAATATCCATGCCAACATAAATGCTAGAAGTGCGACAATGTCCATTGTTTCAGAACTGATGTACAATTACAAAATGATCAAAATACAGTGAACAATAACAACCTCAAAAATCTGCTGATCGCGATTGTCGTCATTACTTTCTGCATTCACCTGTACCGGATATAATTACTAGATTATCCCTCTATTCAAATAATTCTCACAAGGTAATGCAAAGCCACCTGGACCGTGGTTTTTAATGTTTAACCTACTCATACACCTTCCACAACTTGCGTAATCTATTGTATAGCTTTGTGACAAAATCAAGATCGACTTTCAACCGCTGCACGCGATTCAACTATTTTACTATTTGTTTGACGGTAAACTAAATTCATTGTTGTTAAGATATTCGTTACCAAACTTTCTCACCCATCTTGAAATACTGAGGATGAGATCATCTTTTTGCGTTTTGAATAACAGAAAATTAACGATTAAAGCAGTTTTGAGCCTCCAGCAATTCCTGGTAATACCACCACTAAAAATTTGATTTTTAGTACAAGAATCAATAGTCAAACATAGTATAAAGCAAAGAAACAAAACCTAGTGAAGGGAAAATGACAGTACTGTGATAATAGTACAATCGCGATATATATGGACACTAAAACTATACAGTCTGGTTTAAATATAATAAGTTTACTTACGCTATGGAAAATGCGATTGCATTCTAGATCTAGAATGTATAATTTTATTTCTTAAATACATAAAACTATCAATGGTATCATTGATTGATCGGTGAAATTGGGTAAGTATAGCCTTTAAAATAAATCTTAATTTCACGTGAAAAACCCAACTACTTAGCGGTGAGAAACCGACCGCTATCTGTAAGTATACGTCACAAAACGTTTGTGGCTAAACAAGACCGAGACAAATCCACAATAGAGTTAAAGGTAAAGTTGTTATTTATTGTCAAATATTTCGTCCAAGTTTTTGTGCTTACCACAGAATAAAGCAGCACGCAATACGCGCTTTTCTTTTACATTTTACAACCGAATTTGTTCATTGAAATATACGGAAATGTACCATGATTGAAAGAATATGAGCGTTGGACAATTGTCTAATTACGTCAACAAATTAAATAGTTACCGCTGTAAGGCGTGAACGCTACTTAATGTACTTGTGATGCGGAACGAAAAGTTTGGTAATTTGACGTGGATTTGTGTTTCGTCATCAAGTTTAGCAATGGGAGTGTGCATTGGAAGGAAACGCTGTTCCTGTTTTCTCGTGGGAATCACACAAGTAACTAAATAGTTTGACAATTGTGTTGGTAATGGAGTCTTCGCTTGATACACCCATGCAATGATGCATTGGAATTCAATGAGTCATTTTAAGACAGCGAAGGAAGTGTGAAAATCTCACAACATCGGGTTTTTAAAACAATGATTAAAATAGTTACAGATTTGGGCAGCTGCCTAGTGATATATATATACCAGGGATGTAGGTCAGAATTTTGTCACTACCGATTTTCCGACGCTTCAAAAATCGACGTTGCTATTTACCCTATACCGGTATTGTATTATAACGTAGCAATCACTATTAAGTCAAGTAAACTCAGAAAAATGAAACTACAAAACTGGTGTCGACTTAACTCAAATCTCTTGAAAAGACTAATTTGAATCTCATCAGTGCCATCTACCGGCCGACTCGTTTTTCGCAAGATAGAAATAAAATAAAACTTACCGGCTTTTCTTTTCCAGAGATAGCATCGGCATGCTGCGGAAAAGCTCTTTGGAGATAATTTAAAAATGCTTCTCTTTTGTTAGCCGCGTCTTTTCGGGATATTACGTTGAATTCAGCAGAGAAATTATCAGACGATGCTCTCGGTGAAGATGGTTCTTGTGTGATTACATTCGGATCATCCTGTACATAAATACCAACAAATCAGCCACCAGGCATATGTATGGAACTATATGTGTGTTATAATGGTTACATTGTGTTATTTGTGTGCCACATGAATGAAAGTGTATATCATTTTATATCGGGATAAAAATAATTTTATCTTTTCTGTTAAATGGATTGAGATTGATTGCTCGGTTGTGTTTGATATTTTAATTTTAGATTTGGACTCGAGTCCTTGATTTGACTTGCAAAATAAACTGAAAATTCCATATTTTGGAATGATATTAAACTCGTGATTAAATTTTGAAATAATTAATAATATTTTTTACATTTTTTACTCTTAGATAGGTAGATTATACACGATGAGTTAGAAAGATTCATTTCTAGACAACTCAATTTGGTATTTAAGGTTCCAATCAACGAAAAAACGATCAATGAATAGGATTGATCGGATACACCGGAATATTTCCAGTTTAAGGTATAGCTCACTAACGCTAGTCTGGGTTAGAATACACGCCACTAATGTTCAAAGCGGAAAAAAACCCAAAAACATGCTAACGTTGGAGTTTTAGGATCGGTAAAAACGTACTCATAAAATCCACCTAATGTATATACATATATTTAACAACACGGCCACAAAATACGAATTTAAAAATTACCTTGAAATTTGATTGCGGACCTCCGATAGTGTGTCTTCTTTCGCGTCGTCTGCCACGCCTGGAACTCTCTTTGGTTTTTAATGCAGAATAAAAAGTATCTGATCCGGAATCTATTGGCTGATTCTCTGGCTTATTACTCTTCCATGCGCTATTCCATTCATCCATAGATACAAACCCGTCAGAACGAAATCCTGATTAATTATGACAAAGTTTCAGATTGATTCAAACGCAAAACGATGTAGTTGTAGGAGAAAAGTATTCTATTCACTATTTTTGTCTTTTGTCTCTCTTTTACGCTCTCTCTTTCTCACAATTTTTTTTACTGATAATCTAAGTTCCTATACATATATATATGACCCATAAGTATTTTTATATTTCAGCAATAGCATTTCAAATGGCGAAATTCGCCTAACGTAAAAGCCGACTTTCGGTAAAAATTCAATAATACATCGGTAGGTTGCAAAACAGAATCACCCAAAAGCGTTGTTTGATTGTTATGTCTGTAAATTTCATACAGTTAAGTGAAGCATGAAGCTTGCCTCCTTTGCAAATTCTTTAATCCTATAGACATTTTTATAAACGAGGTTGGAGTCATGATTTTCATCACTCGGCGAGGTTTTAATACCGAAATGCTCTGATTCCCTCGAAATATGAAGATAACAGGGCAATTGACCGAAATTTACTGAACCGTAGTAATGACTTTAAAAGTGTATTGATGTTGCTATTTACACAGGAACCTCGTCTGACACGTAAATTTGTATGGCTAGTAAAAATTATTAAACGACTTGCTGAGACACATTACCAAGCAATATCAACCCATACAATAACCTTCGACATTCTTTAAACCTCGAATAGAAATTATTCTTTTTTGTATGCAACGCCTACTTATTACTACTTAGTTTATGTAAATTTATTCAACTTAAGTAACATCGCAAATCAGGTATGCCAAATTCTAATCCACATTACTTCACCAGTACATACTAGCTCTAACTCCACTCAAAGTGACAATTCGAGTTGGTTATGCCGGGCAAAATACATCATTCATTTTGATGATAAATTTTGCAGATGTGTTTAGAATTATGATCTTTTCTCAAATTTTACAGCTAGTTTGTTATTGTAAATATCTCAAACACAAACTCGCGGCATCAATAATCTACAGGTAAACGACATAGTATGTCACTATCTCTACCCGGGTTGGAATAAAGTTGGGTAGGCAAAATGGTAACAAGATTCTGGTTTCTGGAAAGAGCTTAAAAACTCCGTACTTGGTATAGTATGTGTGAATGCAATTGCAAACAAATCTAGAGTATCGATTACGACTTATCGGCGGGAACTAATTGTTAAATATTCAGTCAATCACGACAATTTGTACTTCAATTAATACACGCCACGCAGTAATAAGAACAGAATAGTTATCTGGTTTAAGTATCCTGGTGTAAAATTACACACGGGGAAGAATCAAATAAAATGGCTATACACTTCGAACTTTATCTGATTGTTGCAATCAGGCAGAAACCTTTTAATGGGATTTAAACCCAAAACCAACGTTAAAAGTTAATAGGACGTAACGCATTCATATTCTGACGTTATTCTGACGTATAATTAAACATAAATGTCATCAGGACGCTACTGGATACGCCATCAATTCTCCATTTCGAAATTTTACGCATTCGCGGCAACTTACGATCAAACTTATCTCATGAGATGGTCGAGATACATTGGTCAGCTTATTTTTCTTGGCGAAATACTGCATTTGAAGAATACAAATATACCAACTGCAAATACTGTGTATTGGTATTACTAACGCTGCCTACTTAATTGAAGTGCTATAAAGTTTGTTTTGACTGGCATACGACGCACAATCGCGACGAGCGACTCTTACAATACCGGTGAAAGTAAACAAACGCCGAATTTTGTCTTTCACATACAATGGGACGGAAATGTAATCCTATGTCTCAAACATGCCATTCTTTCCGATTGTTGTAATGATGCATAAATCCGATTTTCCCACGATGAGTCGGGTAGTAGAATAGACAGTGAACTACAGATTTTTTAACATCTCATATTCATATTCAAATTTCGAAATTACGCAACAGTCTAAACTAAAGAATGACAACACATTTGGAATACGGTGAAGGGATTTATCCACAACACACGATTTGGCATGTAGAGAGGATTGTTGATTGTTGACATTGAAGTGGCGTTTCCATTTTCTACCGCAAATGCCACTGACTTCCTGCCGCCACCAAAAGGTCGAACATTTATATTTGTTTTGTAACCTGACTATTACTGAAAATATCATCATTTATATACGACAAGTAAGCTAATGAGGTCTGTTGACTGCTGACATTGAAGTGTCGTTTACAATTTTCTACCGCAAATGCCGCTGACTCCCTGCCGCCACCAAAAGGTCGAACATTTATATTTGTGTTGTAACCTGACTATTACTGAAAATATCATCATCATTCCTAAATTTTGTCTCCCAGAGAAGTTGATAGAAACAAAATGACTTCTAGTATGCGGCAAATCTAAGACTCACTGGTGTAACCTTGCATAACAAATTCGTGAAGAAGCATAAAAACTGAAAAATATGAAACTGAAATTGCAAACGCAGTATTATTTCAAGCTCAATCAAGATCTTATTTGCTTCAACATCGCACTTTAACGATGAATCGAGGTAATATAGTAGCATGCTCACTTGAAGGCAACGTCGAATATTTTGCTGGATTATTCGGCTCCGATGAAGCACTGTATGAACTAAACTGAGTTATGTCACTTCTTGTGTCATCAAAATTTCCATCAGACATAAATCCATCTTTGGGATAACGATCATCAGCTGATTTACTGAAATTGGTGTCAATATAATTTGAGATACGTAATTTTGTTGACATGAAATATATTACTATTACTTGGAGTATAGTACATAGATGAGAACCAAATCGTACGTTGATGAAGAGTATGATACATCTCTAGCCCGACCTTGACTGCATTTAAAATGTGATATTTCTAGGATACACCGAAGATGCTTTATAATTCGTTGCTCAACAACAAGAAATGTCAGAATTCTCTATAATTAGAATCTGTCTTATTCAAATGAACCACTTGCAACAGAGCAAATTTATTTATAAAACATATTGTCAAAATCAATTTTTTACGTTTCAGTCTAAGACTTTGTAAACTATGGCAAGAGCCTTGAGCAGAATCTTGAGTTGTTATCTCAAATTCAGGGTATTTATTGGTCAAGATTTGATTAATAAAACTATTATTTTAATAAGGAATCGATAACGAGGTTTGATTTCTTCTTAGTCAACAGTTTTGGAGAGCTATAGATCATATATATATATCAATATGAAATATTAGAGTTTTAGAATTGTGGAAATTTAAAAAGAAACTAGTACCATTCAAAAACAGAGCTTATAATTAACTTTGTTTCAAAAATGTAACTCTTTATTGCAGGGTAACAGAATATTAAGATCAAAAATGTTGATGGTTTGATGTGATCCTGTGTTATCAAATGGTATCCCGTATTAAAAACAAATGCTCGACTATACCAAGAAAAAGAAACTAAAACACTAACTATTTTGTACCTTACTGAATGTTTTTCTTCATTTTCGGGCACTTGAGAAAGCGGTCTCTTACGCCTTCCAAATGATGGTGGTGCTGCAATATTTTTTCGTCTTCTGCCACCGTGTTCAAAATAACCCTTGATTGACCCTGCAAGATATTACGAAATATTTTTAATTGTCACGCACATGCGCAAGGCTGGGAGGTATATAAGTCTTTTTAACAGAATTTATTTTGCCCCATGAACGCAATCGCAACCATGGTGAAGTCGTGCTGATGGTAACGTTATGAGCGCCAATACACAACGATGTGGTGTTGAAAAACCATATGCTGTATAATCAAATATTGAGTCGGCGCGTGTTGAGAAAGAATCGTTAAAATTTATGGATCCCGAAAACGTCACAAGTGTCTGTGAAAACACGAAAATCAAACAAATGGGTGAAACTGTTTACATTTCCATTTTGATTTTCTCGTGTTCGCTTCGTTACTCTCCATCATCGTCATTCATATGTTTCAAATTTGATTAAAATCTTCAACACACACATTATTGAAGAACCTGTAATGTTAGATCAAGATATAACAAATTAAATTACATGTGAGGGTTTTTGCTTTACAGTTTGGGTATAGATAACTAATGTATGTTTCAAAGAGGTCGGGAATTCGATCGGTTGAATGTTGCAGTCAAATATCAAACTACTGACACTTTCCTGATTGCTATCCTGACTAGAACAATGTATTAAATATAAACTCGTGCTTTCCAAATTTATGGGAGTATTTTCAGATCAAGTCGTCACAGAGTCCAAATGACTTGATCAGTTAGTTTGATAATCTTTTTTTTAAAACTCAATATAAGCTCGATAAAACGTACGAATTTTCAATAAAAAAATGTTATTTTTTGATCAAATTTTTCTTGTTGTGGCTTTTTCTTCACCTCTAAGCAGGGTCGTGCCGAACTTTTCTGCTGCCCGGGGCGAGTTTCCGATAATGATATAATTCGATGATAAACTAATTGTAATTGTTGGCATAAATGAGAATGAATAAATGTGTAGTTCAAGTAAGAGTGAACTGCTTGTATTATCATCATTATCAAATAAACCACCTCACAGTTTGGATCTCCTTCTCCCTACAACGTGCTGCCCGGAGCGGCTGCTCCTATGCCCACAGGCACGCTATTTCCGCTAACTTAGATTCTTGCGAAGGTACAGCTTTGTGTCTACGAAGTACTTTGAATCAAAGCCTAACAATATACAAAGAAGTAAGTGTCATATTCAAATGTCATCTTCAAACATATATTTATTTGATGGTGTTAGCAAATCATATTTTACTCATTATCCACTTCCATTTCAACCCGTTAGTGCGCCAGCCGTCAGGTTATTTTGAATATCCGATTCGAGTACTGATCTAGAAATTTATTACGGTGGATCTACCATCAATCAAAAGCCTGCAGAAATTTCAAAAGCAACATGCATTTTGTCAGAATACTTCAAATGGTATCTCATCTTTAGGCTACCTACAACCTCAATCGATTCTGTCTAACCTTTTGATGTCCTTTTGTTATCTGGCTATTCATACATATGCTGTCACTGAATAATAAGGTCGTTGTAAAGTCTTACAATGTGTAAAGTATACGTTAATTATTAACCAACCACACGAAACAAACGCCCGTACTCAAACTTTAAAGATCGGACCATATATGTTGTGTAAATTTACCATATTGTAGAAAACGTTTTTTGTATGTTTCTGTAAGCTTAATGGTGGCGGAATAATAATAATAATAATTATGGATTCCTTTGTGAACGACGTATCCGAATTTTTCTTCTGGGTTAAACATAAATCACGGCTTAGCTTTGCCTTTGATTTCTTATACTCTGTATTAAATACTGGGTGATAAACTGATCAAGACTCGAATCCGAGAATCGTGAATTGGGAGTTTGAATGAAGTAAATATTTTGCAATTAAGCTTGTTATTACTGACACTCGTCGCGATACAACCACGATTTGTTTTTTCAACCAATATTGAAACCGAATACTCATCAACGTATGCTATACGTTTAGTCTCACCTGAAATTATGAGACATGAACAAACACTCCAGAATGATACGAAGATTTTTTGAATTTAGTTACATTATATCTCACTTGATCTTAAGAACAGGGTATTGTCAGTCAGTCAGTACTTTATTTTTCACCGAAATGAAAATGCACTTACTGTGAACAAAAATTAGAAAAAGAAAATTGAAAATGACATTTTACGGTGAAGGTGACGCGAAAAACCGAAGTTGGTTATCGAGCAGCGACACCTGTGATAAGAGTCTAACTTTGATACAGGTTTAATAGAAATAAGACGAACAATATATAAATTAAGAATATTAAAGTCTAAAAATCAAATTTGTTTCTGAAAAGAGACCCAGGGCACCGTCAAGTACGAGATGGGTGACCATGGAAAACGAACAGCATAGCAACGACCAAAGTGATTGTTACTTTGGCAGTGGACACGGCAGACTGGGTACAGTCAGAGTAGAAGAGCCATTCGAGAACGGCGTTTAGGTAGTTTTTAAGCATGCACGTTATGGTGGAGGCCATGTTCGTGAGCATAGGTAACAAGACAGTTATTTGGTAATACATTTAGAACTATGAGTAACGTCTGAATTGTTAACATTTTCTTATTATGGAACCAGGTTCTAGAATATCCGACACTGTGACATGGTTACCGGGACTGCTGTTCTGAAGGTTTTCCTGAAGTATCACATGTTCGGTATTTCATCAGTGTCGATTTTCAATGGTATCATAAATATACCAGCCTTAGATATTGCATGCATATAGAAATAGCACATCTATCAATGGCGCACTACTGCGACATGGTATTTTTAGTTATCTAATGCCGCAGACATTCTTCAGTTCTTCATTCTGGACACAATTCCGTAAAATCTATACCATCCAATTTAATCACGCTCAAAACCAATTCGGATGGCATGGACGTCAATAATTTCTTTAATAGTTTATTCAACTCTAATAGGAATTAGATATAGGGAATACATGATTGGTATAGAACGTGCGAAATTGTGGGGCAAATTCAATAACAACATGTTGGTTACATTGGTGGATGTTACTATTTTAGAAATGGAGTTGTCGCGACCATGCGCCGTCTTGATGATTGAAGATCATTGCCAAACTTTGCCACATCTGTAGAAAAAATGTGAAAATCAATGTTCTTTACATTGATAAAGACAAACGTTCTCAGATTATACTTTTGAGAAAGAGATAGGTATTTTTATTCATTGTACGAGACATTTTCGCATGTCATCTATTTCAATAAACGCGACACTGTCAACAAATTGATAACATGTGCTACTGAAACGCGAATGCCAATTAAATGAACTACATCGCACCGATTGTTTTCCCATCAAAAATTTTGCTATTCGCCTATATTGCGCCACCACGTGGCATCCCATCATTTTCGGAATCCATTCATTATTTTGGAAAAATAAGCTAAGACCTTAACTGAACCGGTATGAATGTTATGTTGGTAGGACTTGGTTTGTAATTTAGATTTGAATTATTCTATACCAGATTTCTGTGTACAGTTTGCATATGCCCTTCCGCGGTTGGCCATTTGAACCTCTCGTCCATATATATATTATATAAAAATTGCTTCCTTTTTGCGCGTGGAACGGGAAAACTGATCCTTTTTTTTTAAAAGCACACTTTTTATGTTGTCAAATATAATCGAATAACAGAATGAAACTCTTTCATGATATTGATCGGAATAAGAATCTCAGAATATAATTTGGCATGAGTTTTTTTTCATTTTGGAAAAATACGCATAACTGGAGCGAAACTAAACGCTGACTTCACTTTGTTGTACGTAAGGCAGTATTCCGACGGAGAAATTACTCATGTGGTTCATTCACTGGATACGATTTGTTATAAAATTTAGGATGATGACAAAGTTGCAAACAATTTTTAATGATTCATCCAGGCCTGCATTCACCGAAGGTTACTCAATCGCCGAGTTACGTTTACCATACAATGGAAATAGTCTACATACCTGTGCCTGACTATAAGGTAAATATAATAGAAAGCATTATATGGGAATGGCGACTTATTGCGGATAAACAATCGACTAGTATCAGTTTAATTTACGTTTGTTTCAAATTACTACACATTTATCAATCACCATATTATCTATCTATTGAATTATTTTAACCATACAATTTGCAAAGGTCTGGAATAATATTTTATTGACCGGTATCTTAATATGTTATTGGCCGTGCTCTGTCAGTAGCCCACGCTTAAAAAGAAAACACAGTATTTATGACTAATGCATGCCTTCCGGGCAAAGCAAAGAGGTTAAACAGTTGATTGCTTTTTTAAAAAAGGTAGAACAGTTGCGATGTACCTTACAATAAGAAAACAATAGCGCTAAATATTGGCGCACCCTAACCACGACACCTTAACTGTCGTCAAAAGCAAGAAACTGACTTCTGTGCCACTTGCGTAATGGTAGCGCGGAAATGCGCCAGTTTGCGCTGCATAATCGCACACGCACGCATCATAACCAGGAAGTGGCGGATTGTGTCGAACGCCTTCTCAGCCAGTAAGTTCTGTTGCTTATGACAGGCGGCTCATGTTGGAATAACCGACTATAGAAAGCTGTATGGGAATAGAATGAATCGAGGAAAAGGTTAGACTTGCAAGTTTGTTATGGCGTGGACGTGGAAAATTTTATTTACACTCTTGCAAAGAAATGGATTTAAATACAAATTACAATATACATTGTAAACATTTGAAAGTAGAATATAAGAATTAGTATACGTGATTATAGTCACAATTATGTTCTTGCATTTTGCGGTCAACTTTGCCTCGAAAGGGCCGACGTTCACTCCATTTCACCCAGAAAAGTCGCAATTAAAACAGAAGGTGGTAATTACACCTTTTGCAATTCTATTTTTCTTTCTCCGATGTGCGCATGCCGCGGTAGCTTATCTATGATACGACAGCATGGTTCACCGCTTGGATAGAAGAGAAATTTTTTTTTGTAAAATTATTCAATAAAATACTTTAAAATTGGAAATTTTAATCGTCGTTAAAAATTGTCCGCCTATGATCAATGGGGCGCATTTCTAAACTTTGCCATGAGCGCCATTTTACGTAGATACGCCACTGTTATGCCCTGCGTCGTCTTCGTTAGGCATACCCAGTGAAAGATAAAGCGTGTAAGATTTATTTTCACAAAAAAGGCGTTTTGTTAGGAATGGGAATTAGGATATACCGGTACATAAGTGAAGTAACCGCGAAAGAAATTTGGTGTATCCACTTTCCGCAAATTTACTTGTTGAAGTGCATGATTCATATTAAAGTTTGGTTTGCAGTTGTCATAGTAAATATTCTGTTGGATTTTGTCGGATCAATCGGTGATATTTAGGATCAAATTCCAAGTAAATTCAGGTAGACTAATTCTAACAACACCCGTGTATGAACTACCGGTAGAAAACGTGCACCGCGCCTTACGCAACCGGTATTTTTAGTCGCGGCGTGCTAACCAATATGATAAAACAAACGTAAGAGCGTAAGAATCAATAGAATGAATATAAGTCTTCGATAGAAAGTAATGTATTGTATATACCGCATGCCAAGCTGTATTGATTTTAGTTGCCTTGTTTCGATGTTTCTGAGTTGTATGTCATAGTTGCATAAGAACAGTAGGGTTTCTCAGCAATTTACATCAACAATTTTATGGCTAGGCTTGCACATTTGGTTTTGATGGAGGCGGGGATTAGAAATTATGGATATATATATACATGGATTTTGAATGCGGAATAGTTATTTCAGATCACTAATTTAGATTTCAAGCGCAATTACTTACAGCTTTGTCAGTTTAGTGTCGCGTTCAATGAAATTTGAAATTTCATTCAATGGCCATAGTAAGGGGTAAGAATGGATTTATGGTCTTAATTGTCATTCTACTGGCGTTTAAGAGATTTTTTACAACCAACAACTGCAATAAGTTATATAAGTTAGAATCCGACATCGTACCACATGTCACATAAAAGGAAATATTCTACCCGGAAATCGGAAAAAAACTCATTACGATGAAGTTGTGAATATGCTTGGTAGTATTTTACCGAGAACTAGATAACGTACAATATGAATCAATAAACGATCTATAATATTACAAAAGGTAATTTTATAATATTTTTCGGAGTGATTCTTACGCAAATAGGAGCTATATACGAATTGGATTATCTCATTTAATTCGACCAACGAGATTTGCTTCAAAGATTTAAACCAATCCTCTTTAAACGATTGTTTGATTAATTGATCGAAACGTATTCACAAATTTCGAATAACTAAAGATATTTAACAGTGGATGTATAAGGTTGCGATATATTCATTACGACTTTGTACAAAAAGCAAAAAACGCTTTATTTATTTCTATAAGGTCTATCTATATATCTTGAATTGAGTGTTAAAAATTGTGGAAAAGTTTTTGTCAGATTAGCGTAATAAAAAGAGGGCTACCCATTTGGCTGTGTCGATTTGGAGCCAATTGGTATTTTTTAATTATTATTTAAAGCTGTGTGTATATATATAGACACTTATCGGAGCTGCAAAGCAGATTTTAATGCTGGATTGGAGAGGTATCAGTCAATTGTTAAGTTTCAAGAGACATAAATCCCGACACATTTACGAATTTATTATATTTTTTCTCAAAAATGCGAGAGTATCTGAATAATAAAAAGTTGACAAAAAAAGTCTTATTTGCTTAGTAATTCTGATTTAACGTATGAGTTAAGCTGAATCTCTTATCTTGTCAGACGTGAATAGTTCACTTCCTCTGTTATGATTAAAACAGTGCGCTTCCTCATCAAGGTTACTGGAAATTTTACTGATTTTATTGGTGTTCAACGTTGCGTTCATTTGCAGTAACATGGCCCTCTTCAATTATATTGTATGATACAGCTGGCGTATTGACAAGATGACGCTATGCAGTATTGAATACAGCAGCATCATTGATTTATTGTGAAATATGAAATTTTGACAGGCACTTATTTGTTCATGAAAATCTGGCGATGATTGATTGGATGCTTCTTTGAAATTAAATTTTGCTGATGCATGGCTCAGTAAAAGTAAATTTTGGGGAAAATTGATTAAAAATATTTCAAAGAAGGAATCAAGCAGTTTCGGTGAGACCTATACTGGACTTAATCAGCTAGTGTCATGCCATTTTCTAGATAGATTATCTATTATCGATTGGACATACATTGTGGAAAAATTCGCAAATTTCTGAGTTTTGCGAGTATTCAATGATGTGCAAAGTGATTGTAATCACATATTTAGATCGTTGGGTAAAACAAATCATCTAACCTGGTGCAATTACTGGAAGGTCTTTAACGAAAACTTATTTAAACCGGTAACATATTTCGTAAAACCATTGTGTTGTGAAATTCCATACCGGATTGTGGGTGGCTTTGCGTAATGATTGCTGTAAATTTGCGGGGTGAATGTTGGTACTGATTATGTCAGTATAATAACACGGGTATTCACTGTGGCGGATATGACGAAAAAAAAGAAGAAAAAGGCTATTTTCACATTTGCTTTGGTGCTCTTGATATTTGTGTCGATAGGACAATACATATTTGACAGCAGCATATATAATAGGTTTCGATGAAGATTTTACCACTGTCGAAGGTATAATCGGCAAAACTAATGAACGTCATATCCGGTATATTGTGAATCATACATTCAACGTGCATGATATCTTAATAATTACAGCCCTTCTTCTCAGCTTTTATTTTTTGAGGTCTTCCTAGAGAACCTCTTTTCTGGCCAAATATTAACTACCTGGGTCAAATATTTTGATCACTCTTGGTTGGCGTTTATAATTTCCCTTTACAATTTTGTATTTTCGTTTTGCGTTAATGCTGGTAATTCTGTCTTCAAAATGATATTATCTTGTTTTGCGATATTTTTTGGAATACTAATCATAAATAGTTTCTATTAATCGTGTTCTATCTTTATATAGAGTTAATTTGATTCAGATAAAATAATGTCTTGACGAACAGTCAAAGGATTACTTTTATTTTATTTTTTGGACACGTTTGTCACTGGAACACAAAAAATGCGACTTTTGTTTGGGATAGGGGTAACATTATTACTGGCTGTTACAGGTATGTGTTTTAAAAATTGAAATATAAACTATATACTGTATCTACATACGTTCTAACGGAAGCTGTGTGAATATTTTGGAGCAAAATTGTCACTTTGAAGCCCTTTACTATCTGAAATACTCTTAAAATAAGAATAAATTTTACAATGATAAAATATAGGAGGAATTTTTATGGGGGCAAGTGTCGCTGAAATTTCCACTGGCTTAATTATGAAAAGTGTATGATTGCGATCATTTAGCTCAAACGTGGCAGCAATGACAGATTTAAATATTTAGAAATTAATCACACGTCATTTCGTTGTTTTGGCCTTGTACACCGACAGTCAATTCACCTCATACTCAAACTCGAAATTTTACAAGAAAAACGTTACCTTTGATATGAAGGTAGTTAGTCTCCAGAAAAATTCCTCCGTAAAAAAAAAACTTGAGAGTGCAAGCTTTCTACTCAACCGCATTTGTGACTCAATTTGAAGGGACTCACATGAAACGTTATTTTGCTCACTCTCTCCTATTATTCTAAATACTTCCATTGGAAATCAGGAGACTGATTGACCAAGCTTAAATGGCATAGTCTAGGGCATTTTATCATTATAGTTCCATTCATTGGCCATTCTATGTTGTATCGACTATGTTGTATCGACTTCAATGAAACAAACCTATCATGAAATTTAGATCGGCCTTAAGCTCACAGCTTCATATATCCTTCTTTAGTGCCGTTCATCTTTATAAACGCATAACAGACTCACCATAAAACTATTGTCAAATTAAATGAGACATTATTTTACATTTTTATGACAGTCAACTGCCAGAATGTAACGACACAGCCTACTGCGACTCCAGCAACGACCACTACGAGAACTTCAGCAAACGTCACTATTAAAGTTACGACACCTGCTCCTCCTCCAGGTAAAATCTAATATAAGTCCATGTTTTCAAAATTAATTTGAACAACTGGAGGGATATAATCTCAATGTTTGGAGAAATGCTTTCAAACCTTTTTCAAATAATAAAACAAATGTTGAAGTTTGGAAGCAAGTTGTGCTTTTTCTTTCGATTATTTTCTTGCTTCATGCACTCCAATAAAACTGAACCTTAGACAAATGTTGGTGAACATATACGATTCTTATTCGAAGTTAAAATAATATTTTGATCCTATTTTGGAAAGTAATAATTATAAACTTTGTAACTTTGTGGAGCCAAGATGATCGTGATAAAATAAAAAACGACCTCAAGAATTTTTTAAGTTATTGAAAAATATGAATATGGTTGGAGTTGAACTGGCACAATTATGCAATGGTACAATGAAAAATATCATGTTCGTTTCTCATCATTGACTGGCAGTGATTTTACGTTACAAACAATCAAATAATCATCGTTTTATCTGTTATAACATCACAATTTATTGTGTAAAATATTGCAACACAGCGAACACGACTACCGTGTTGACAACAGTAGCACCGACAGCAGCTGTATTTGACAACTCTACCAACATCATCAGTTTAACAACCAGTAAGATTGCCTGAATCATCTCACGCTTATCCAAACTGGATAACGCGAATGTATATGTCATGCATGCTTGGATGTTTAGCAGTATTTAAATATAAAATTGCGACGTTCGAATATTAGAAGGAAATAGGGCGTTAGCACTATTCATGTTATGTTTGGTCAAAAATGCTCAATTCACTTTATCGGGCTGTTTTTCATTTACGTATATAGCCCTAATTTAATGAAAATAAGTAAGACGTACTGATATACTTAGCTATATTTGTCGTGAAAAGCATGTTTATAAGTATAATAGTCAGATTGTCTGAGATTGTTTTGAATATATGCTGTCCCCATTACACGAATACGTTTCTTACGCAGATAATTTATTGTTAATATCTAAAGAATTTTTCTGTATAAGGATGTCTTTATAAGTATTTTTTGCTTTTTACTTCCACTCGTTGCGATTTTGTTGGAGAAACCATGAAGTTTAAATCAATATATATATATATACTTGGACAGCAAAGAATATTATTTGTAGTTTTTTGGCCATATACGTCATTTTAGAAATGGGAAGACAAAATGCGTCAAGAACACGTCACGCATAATCAATCTATGAACTATCAAAGCCTAGGCAAAGCTATGTTATGCTGAAACAATCTTTTCGCTGAGTATTTCAAATTCAAACCATACTCATTTCCTCTTTCGAAACCCTTCGCTTCTTACGCAAGAGGAGATGACAACTGTGGGCTTTTGGTTATTTTTTATAAAAAAAAAATTTAGTTGTTATCAGATGATAATGACTTCGAAATATTAAATTTATAATTCAAAATCATCCTGTTAGCTAACTTAACCCTGATTAGAAATATATGGACATATCAGCATTATGTGTATATCGGTAAGATAAGACTGTGATGTCATTCCCACTGCGATAATCAATCGTCTGTCTGAACTATTTCTCGGAAAAATTCGTACTATAGTTAACTTTGAGGTTCAAGACGGGTCATTTGGTTGTCCATATATAAATTTCTTCATTTTTGATTTTTGTGACGTATGGAAACGACTTATGCGTCGACTTTTTCAACTGTATTGTTTTTTATTTTGATTGTTCACTCTGCCCTGCAAACCGCATATAGTAGTGTACGTGTAAGCATCCTAGTTTAAGTAAATCGATTGCTTCAAGGAAAACGTGAGCATAGAAAAAAGATTGGTCAATTTTTTGTTGGGTTTATATTACTACCGTGTTAATGTTTGCAGAAAACTATTTTTTACGTTGAACACGATTTTGAATCTTTGATTTGTTGGGCTGGTCCAATTTTAAAGAATACGCATTTTCTCTAAATTGACTCTGCTTCTAATTCAATAGATGACTTCAAGAATTTAAACAAAATTTCGCAAGCACGAGATTGCATGTACTCACCTAGGCAAAATACTATGACGCCATTCAAAAAGGAAATGACAAATATTACTTATTACCGGCGCACCTATTATTGCTCCTTTGTACAAGATACAGTTATTACTGCTTCAATGTGTACGGCTATAACGTTATATTATACATAAAACAACATGGCCAAAAAAATTTTGTTTGCATACATCGCATATGTACTATAATGCATGCGAAAGGTGTAAATGTATTTATATAAAATATTCATATTTTAACTGACATTTCAGCAGTTTCTACAAACGAAAAGACGTCTTCTATACTGCAAAATACAACTACGTCTAATCCAGCTACTTTTTCTAGTAAGGACCTATGGCATGATTGAAAACGCATGCTCAATATGATATATTTATTTCCTCATATGCCTTACAGAAGTTTAACTTCCCTCATCATGTATGAACGTCTGTGTAAAGTACATTTTGAAGACAAAATCCCGTAAATATCATAAATCGTTATACAAAATTTAGTCCTTGTATTTTGCCTAATATACAAGAATTTTAATAGTGGTGTCTAATTTTGTATATTCATTGAATATTTTATATCAATCTCTATATTTTCATTCATTTTGGTAAGTCTCACATGACTGCACTGTGGTACTAACGCATAACTTTTATAAACGTTATAGCGACTTTAACTGAAAAAGCAACAACAATAACGGCATCAACAGTAAGTCAGACTTCAAAACTTACTACTACAAAAGCGAGTGAATTGGACATTACATCCGTTGCTTCAAATTCTTCCATTACAAAAGCAACAGAGTTCGAAGTTATCACTGATTCACAGACGGTTGCAAATACTACAAAAATCCCGATTACCACACAGAGTAAGACACTCACAACCTACCTGAAAACCTGAAATGGTTCACGGAGTATAACGAGTTTTCATGCATGAAAACATCTTTAGCATCCACGTGTGTCTGCTCATGTGGAAATCACATATGTTTGCTGCTATGACAATTTTCATCTTCGGAATTGCCAGTTATGGCTACCATTTAACTTATCAAATTTCTCTCTCCCAACTTCTTCCTATTTCATGATCCTATTTCATATCATGCAAACTTACTGTAATCGATGTGCACTCTACTTCTTCGCTTCGATATGGCTTGATTCTCTTTGCTCTGTTCATGTCAACTTTCTCAAATTTGATCCGAATGCACTTCTTTATTATCTTGCCCTATTAATATTCTTACACTCTACTTTCATTTATTCAACCCTTCATTCGCTGTGTGAGCCTATTTGTATCTCTTCACCTTTTACAAATGGAACAATTGTGTCACAAATTTTTCCTACATGAATACGGTTATCATCATTATTCACTATGAAAGGCATGTCGTCATCTTGAACGTCATCTTGTTCTCTGTGAAAGTCTTCATCGTTTTGTGCTATACATGTTATAATACTGCATGATCATATTAACTAGGAACAAATGCTGGATTTGTACCGATGCATTTGTTCACATTTTGTTGGTGATATTGTAAATGTTACTTTCCTATTTTCGTGGTGGTTTATATTGAAATTCATAGCGTTGTAAAACTTTCAAGATGGTGCCTGATTCATATCATTGTGGCTGGTAATGATTTATCTAATTTAAGATATGGTCCAATCAGTCAAATTATCAAAGATGTAGCATATGCTTGATAAAATGGTCTGTTTTGTAGCTGGAATTTGCTACCATTTTACGTTGGCCATCTTGTCAAGACAACTATCGGTTTTAAATTTTGAGTAAATGTTTTGTCGGATTAATCAAACCAAAACAACACAACCAGTTAATAATTTTCTCTGGAAATGCTTGTGTATCCAGATTCATGTTGAAACAGACATTTATACAAAAGTGATAAATAAATAGAGACACAACGTATGCGCTTGACTATATATCGTTTTTGAACTCTTCAGTCGAGCCTACCTAGACAAATTTCGGGAAAATTTTCTATTTTCCATCCTAGAATGTCCAACAGTTTTAGACTCGATAAATTCTGATTCGAATAGCTCGCCTAATTAGAGTTGTTTCACTCATTTTTATGATTCGATATTTTGTCTCATAATTAAGCAGATTAATAGAATTAGGCTTCAACTCAAGATCCTAGTTACATCGACTGTTGCTGGTACTCAAGTGCACAGGCACCAGGTTAATTTGCATTAACCTATAGCAAGCATATATCAAAAATCTTATATAATTTTTCTAACTGGTGATATTTAAAATGTTCAGCTGTAACAACTCATCAGTATGAAACAACAGCAGAGTCTGGTTCCGGGGTGGAGACAACCTCTGCGGAGATTCCAACACAGCCAGAATCAACAACCGCGGAATCTACCACTCGGTAAACTCATTCTTAATCGAACTAATGCTATTTCTTGAAGGACATAGCAAGATTTACTATAGCAAAGTCAATAAATACAAAATTTATTTGATAATTTGATGTCACAAGGAACAATAGAAACGTCAGCTTATTGTTCGCTCATTGTTTATTTCGTATGCAATTGAAAGTGACGAACATGTTTAGCTCTGATTCCTTTAAAATATGCACAATATTTCATTCGTTCATCATTTTGCCAGTCCGTAAATTTCAAATCAAACTTCTTTCTGAGTCGAGTTCGGTAAGTGTTAGTCAGTTTGAAAGTGCCGAATAAATAATTTTTCAAATCATAATTTTTTTTACATTAAATCATAGAATTGATAGAAATGGATAAATGTAATTAGCGTGAAATTGGTTTCATTTTTAAGGCCTTCTCTGGGATATTAAACATAATGTGAGTTCTAATCATGGTTCTTTTTGGTTTCTGGTCCAATTTTTCACGGCATTTGTAGTCATGCTATTTTCTACTTTTTCAAAGTTTAGATCTTTGATCAGTGTTGTTTTATTAACTTCATATCTTTCCAGAATTCCTCTGGATACGTCTCAACCATCCACATCACAACCTGAAACCACGGGGGCCGTCGTCACTTCAGAAGGTAACGCTGTATATTTTATTTTATTATAAAGACAATAGATTTCAAATATTCATCACCGCATTGGGTTACTTGCCACTCACTGTATTGGTATTGTGCCATGAGTAACTAAAAGTCCTTTTGTCTTATAAGTCAGAATTAAAATAAAAGAGTAAGCTAACACTGCTTCTCATTATGCTTTGTACTCGAGACAGCAAATACAAAATATAAAAGGTGAAAGAAAATTCTTTGCTGTAATTTTTCCTGCAATTATTGTGTTTATGAATATTTACATCCAAATTATTTGGAACATAATGTAAATACAGAAATGAATTGAATAATTTATTTTAGAATCAACAACTGCAGAAAGCCAGTCCACTGGGTCATCACCAACTACTTCATCTTCCAAGCCACCGGATACGACTAAATCCACAACTTCTTCCTCGACCCCTAGCGCTGGCTCATCTAATATTGCGTTGCCAATATCTCTAACAATTCTCGCTTTGGTGTTAATAATATTCATCGTGGTATTGTACTTCTATTGGTAAGAAGTTTTGAAACACTTTCATAGGTTTATTGTTGTACGTTGAGTGGGAGAAAAAACCCTTCAATTCGAATAGTTTTTGAAGCAAATTAATTCATGCTCTACAAAAAGAAATGATCATAAAATATAAATAATTCTTGGTTGTTATAATATTGAGAGATGTTAGTTTGTGAATATTGATAACCCTTATATTAATTACATTACAAGTTATATAAATTTATTAGAATCGTCTCATCCTTACACATTACCTATCCCGTTACTCTAGTTAAATATCGATGTATATTTATTGTAGTTTGCTCTTACATGGAGCAATGCATTATTTAGGGGAATCAAGAATTGCTGCGTTCAACTATTACACTAAATTCTTAGTTTCACCAAAACTATTATAGGTTATATAATATAGGTTTAACTTTTCCAATCTGATTTATAACCTGCTATGTCATACAAATTTTTATTATAACGACTTTAAAGTTTAAATCGCACTTCCGTCTATTGTTACGTTTACTATAGTAAAATACTTCAACGCTTTCCTGGGGTATGTCACCACATTATAATTTCCGGGTTTCCTAGTTCCATTGGTTGCGTGTATATCACTTATAATAGTATAGATTGTGCATCTAATATACTAAACACTACATCATTTCACACTTTCAAACTCACTACGTCCAGTCATTCTACTTTCTATACTTGAATGGTCCTTCCGTATCCAAGCTATTCATTGTCTTTAGTTTTCGATTCTAACTGATATGCCCGAAATAGGACAGCTTTTTATTCCAGAATTGAATATATTTTGGGATTTAGTATTCGAATATTTCTAACAATTTGAAAATTGTAAATATTGCAAACCCATCTGCATACATAAATATATACACGGAAATACGGACAAAATTTAACATTCATTCATGAACCAACTTACGGAATACCTCCTATTCGTTTTTGGAAATTGTAATTTTGAAAACTACACCAACCAAAAATCTTGATAAATTTCATAAACCGAGTTAATTCCTTATTCTAACATATCGTATTAGAGTAGTATTCAGAAAACTACACTTGGGATTTGTTTTTAAAAAGGTACTCGTCTTGAGATGTTATAGTTTTCAAAATGTTAAACCGCCATAATATTGTAGCTATATTTTAATAGTACTGGGAAGAATCTTCCCTGCTTTGGGAAAAATAGCGGAGAACACGAAATTATTGAGATGCCACCAAGAAAACCAAGTAATGCTGCAAAGGTAAACAATATAATTTTATAAAAAAGATGAAGGCAATAAAGATTTTTAATTCGGTTATAACTACAATTCGGTGGTTTACCCAGGTTTAAAAAATTCCATTTATAACGTAATAACACATTTTATAGGAATAAAAGATACCTTATAACGACATAACGCATGCCATGGAAATCGAACTAGACGCCACAGTCAATATTCTCGTGTCTTGACGTCACAATTTTTTTTTTTTTCCAATTTTCAAATTATTCCAGTAATTTAAAAAAGTTTGTTTTTATCCAAGTGCAACGATACAAAATAATATTTGATACAAAACTTTAGTTTGCTGTCGGACATATGTCAATTAACAGGGAAGAGTTTGAAGTCCAATTCAAGAGAAAAATTGCGGATGATGGCAGAGGATATCGTGAGGAATTCAAGGTAATCTCTAAACTGTTTACTTGAAAATAGCCATGGTATATGCCAAGGGTACGTTTTGCTTATGCAACTGTTCTCTCTTTATAATCTGTATTTCCTTGTTGCGTAGGCAGTTCAAACAGAAAGCAGTACGATGTCTGCAGCCCGGGATCCGGTAAATGCTCCTAAAAATCGTTATGACAATGTTTTGCCATGGGATTCGTCACGAGTTGTCTTGTCTATTCCAGCATCCGGATCTCCCAGTGATGATTACATTAATGCAAATTATGTTCCGGTAAGAAATTGGTGTTAAATCATTCAATGCAGAATGAATATGCATGAGAAATCGTTATACATAAAGAGAATGATTTTCTGATACTGTCAACTTACTGATGGTGATATGTGTTATATTTGTACTGAATGATACTGGGATTTGAAAATGAACAATGAAGGGGGTTTGCGGATGTAGCTGTCTAAAATGTATTGTGTTGAATTGATATAATAACCGTAGAAGCACGCAAAACATACTTTTGCTTTGAGAGCATAATTTAATTTATTACGCAACAGAAGGACTTTTCAATTTGTTACGTGATTAACCACCAATTTATTCATGTCATGAAATGAAACCAATTCGTGTAGCAGTGTTAGTTTCTTTTACTACAAATTCACCTCTAAGTGAAATGATATTCACCACCATGAGGTAAATTTACCCATGTTGGAGGCGCTCAATTTAAACGTATCTAAAGCAGTTACTTTAAAACGTAGCAACAAGATTTAAAATGTTATGAGTGACGTAACTTCAATACCATAACAGGGATATCTTCAAGATAAGAAGTTTATAGCGTGCCAAGGTCCAAAAGACACAACTTGTGCGGATTTCTGGAGAATGGTTTGGGATCAAAAATGTGCTACTATCGTTATGGTAAGCTGATATACTGTTGCTATAGAGGAGGAATAAAAGTTTGCTCTCAAGAATTAGGAAAAAAATATTATTAGAAAATTAAGTCACACCAGCGTTTCAAAATACGCTTAGTTGACCCCAATACAGTTGTGTCTGGGGGAAAATTGGAAAAGATAGGCACTTCAATAACTAGTTTGAATTCGTAAATATCAGAATACTTTGACAAAAGCTAAATCTGGATATATGTTTCGATAACTTACTTAGAAATGATATAATTCTTTTCTTAATTTTCAATAGGTTACAAACTTAGTTGAGGCAAAGAAACCAAAATGTCATCAATATTGGCCCGGAGATGACATGAGCGAAGGAGAAACCGCAAAGTTTGGCGATTACGTAGTTACACTTACTGACGTCAAGATCAGAAATTTTTTCGTTACCAGGACGCTGAAACTTCAACACGTAAGCCATTTTTATATAGGAAAAGAGAATAATGCTCGAATATATTCACACGAAGGTTAATTGTCAAATAAACTTGTTTCTAAATGAAGTAGTAAAATGTATATCGAAGTATACATATAGAGGTTGCGTTTTTGTCGTATTGCTCATACTAAACAGTGTTATTTTTTGTATAAGAAATATATTTTGGGGAAATATATTAAATTATAAATATAGGCGTTGCTCCACAAGTAACACAGTCAAGAGTTGACAATCAGGCTTCATTCAATCAGGCATGGGTATATTAGATCTGTGTTTGAAAGACAATGTACTCTAATAGATATGAAAGTTTAGTTGAATAATCGGAGGTGGGATAGCAGTTTTGGAAACTTTGAACAGTGACTGGTTACGACCTATTCATATTTGGCATTTGTTTTTTATTACACCCACATCAGAACGAGTGACGATCGGAAACAGTGCATTGTCTGCATATATACATATACATTGTAGTAATGTTGAGGATGAGTTAAAAAAGGGTTTATCTGTCTATTATATAAAGTTTTCTGGCTACAGAGGTGACTAAAATGTCTTATGATTTTTGTTGTTGCTGGTCTTACCCACAATTTATTCGCTTTAAAATTTTCTGTATTTAAAGATTGGAGTTTTTCCTCCTTGTTTATTTTTTGAAAAACAGAGTGGATCTATGGGTCATTATTCTAAATTCGTGTTGTTGATAAGATTGTTTTTCGGAAAAAAAATAAAAAACGAAATTTTTTTAGACAAGGAAGTAGTCGTTAGAAGATTATTGCTATTATTTTTTTTTTTCAAATTTCTCCTGAGTGCTGTGGGACCCATTATTTCGTCCAGAATATTTCAGTTTTAATTTCTTCGAAGAACAGCCTATTTTATTCCACCGAGCTTGATAGCCACCGTCACGCTTGTTTCGCTGATCTTTTTTCGCCTTACCGCACTAGTACCGATGTGCGATAATTATTCCTCCTATATACTATTTCCTGATCCTATGCGCCCCGTTGTTTTTGTCCGAATATTTTTCCGTTTTTGTTTAAATTGTGCCACTGCGTGAATTAACCGCTTATTTCCTTGTGCTATTATATTCGCGGGTTGGTTTTATTTCAATTTCAAATATAGAACGAAGTAGGCATACTAGCTATAACTTATGATATCGCTTTCATAATCAAGAATATTACAATTTCAAAATATATCAAGTATTTCACCAATATTTTTGCATTCACTCTAACTGACTTTAATTGGTTGCAACGTAAGATTTATTTGATTGATTAATTGAAACCTTCTAGTCACAGTCGTCGTAAAGCAATCGCGTCGTTTTGTGTCTCATTCATCGTTGTGTATGCATTCCCAGTACCAGCAGCAGTAACCAATGTAACATGGTGGAAGTGTTGTTGTGCATATGTGTCACCAACTAAAAAATCAAATGAATCAAACAATAATAATAATATGATATCACGATTCTTGTTAATTTTACTATAAAAAAGTAATTCGATTAACTTTTATTCGCCAGTAAGTCGTAATTCACAGTAAATTTCTACCACTACTGGACCTGGAAAGCGCTTTCCTAATTAGAATAATATCTGCCTATGGTAAAATGTTATTTATGAATTCTTTGGTCCTCGCTTCGCATGGTATATTGTATATAGTAGTTTCGTTTCCGTGTTATTATTCTGTCCCATGTCTAAAAGCTATTCGGAAATATACTTGATTATGAGTGGGTCTAATCTAAAACAAATGTGATTTGACATTATCTATTCTCTGACATGACAACTTGAAACCGAAACGATGAGATACAAGGACGCTCCTAGACTTATTATTAGACTATCTATAATATCATTGGGTGTTTCCCCTACATTTGACCCCGATATTTTTTGAGACATGAAATATTTGGAGGCGTATCTTGGAAGTGTTTGAGAGTTGGCTCTTGAACACTGTTGTTCATAACCACCATTTTGATCCAAAAATGTTAACGTGTGCTATTTGAATGTAATAATGGTTAATTTCAGTTTAGTAATATACAACACTTTTTAGGGACTAATTTTTGATTTCTGCAATCAAACTAACACTCATACGAAGTTCAATTGAGTCATCTGATATGTGCTTAAATTTTACAAACATAACTAAAAACTACTAAATACCGCGCAAAGTCACGAAAACGAGCCATTACAACCATGCTTAAAAATCTGGTGAAATATCCATATTATACAACAATCCATGATCTGTTCGATGTAAGAGTACAAATCGAAAACAAGCATGTGACCTTGTTTGACCTAAGATCACAGAGGGAAATTATAATATATCACGCGTATTCGATCCATAAATTAGTTTAGTACAGTGTGTATTTTAGTCGAATAAGAGATCATTTTTGACTGATCATGTTCGAAAATGTTTCGTATACTGTCTGCTGGGAAATTTTTATTTTGTTTTGAAATGTCAGACGTTGTTCGCAGAAATTCCCATTATTCGTGATAATATCGTACAAACTCTTTCAACAATGGTCGTGAAATACCCTAAAAAGTTCTTAAATCAAAAACTTTGAGGGCAGGATTTGTACCATGCATGTAAAAATCTACTGTCATTACAGAATCATTTTTACACGATGTGGTATAGCGGGAGACGTCTTTTTCGTTGAAAGAATATGCAATATATTTGGACACTACACGCATTGGTTTGTTCGGAAATGTTTCGCGTTCTTGCTTCAAACACGGCCATAGACAAGAAGAGTTATCGCGTAACTACTGCAGTTTAAAAAAACTCGTAATATTCTCGGTTCGGTGAATAGTCTACCTGTGCAATATGGTGGTTGTAGGGTTTTGTCTCAGGGAATAGGGCTAGCTCATGGGTTGTTATTTGGGAGTGAATTTTACCCATGGGGGTAAACATGACCTGCCTTCATGGTAAAAATTAGCATTGATATACGCACGTTAATTCTAGTTATCAGACGCAATCAATTTTAGAGGTCCACAATTCGACATTGAATTTCCGTCTTCTAAAGTTTTCCTGTCGACACATTCCCACATTCCCCTAAAAGGTGGCTCCAGATAAGCCGTCTTTACTAGATCCTGACGTCGCAGGGTGGACGAATTTTTTGTTGTAGTCAAATCATTGTCGTGAATTTATCAAAGACAGTTCAGAATATCGCCAATCATGTCGATTTATTTGTTTAGGGCGACGAATCTCCACGTATTTTACGTCAGCTTCACTACACAGCATGGCCTGACTTTGGGGTTCCGAAGAATCCTCACGAACTACTTCTGTTCAGACGTAGAATCATTGCAGCAAATCCTCCACACTCAGGTATGTCTATTTTATCAAAGGGAAATATTAAATTTCTTGAATCTTAATGCATCAATATTGTAATTCTTCCATGCAAAAATGTAGCCATTTTTATATACTAAATAGGATTGTTTATATCATTTCATTGTGACCTGAGTATATAACGGTATCACCAACGTGTTAAAATTATATCACGAAATTATTGGTGTTATAAATCTATGACAAAGTAACGATTTCATGCGTTCCCTAAATTCAACCTTTTTATGTTGTAGAATAAAAAATGTTTTTTTTTTCGAATATTGCTCTGTTACTAATTTCATACATTTTCTTTTAAGGACCAATTGTCGTCCATTGCAGTGCAGGTGTAGGACGTACTGGAACATACATATTGATAGATGCTTCCATGGAAGAACTAAGGGCTGAAGGGAAAGTCGACTTGTTCTCGTTTCTCACTAAAATGAGGAAATCAAGAATGATGCTTGTGCAAACAGACGTATGGACTCATTTATTTATCTTATTCTATTTCTGTGGCCCAGACCAGTGGCTAGTAGGTAGCCAGCGATTCTCCCTTTGGCGCCGCTCCGAGAAGAGTTCGTTACCACCTTACCGGGTTTTGTGGCTTTCTCAATGCACAACTGAATAGTGATATAAACAACACTTTTAAACTATGTTTTATAATACCATCATATTCTTTATATAGGCACAATACACTTTTGCTCATGCAGCGTTACTGGAGCACATAAAGTATGGAGACACGGAAGTATCAGTGAAAAAGTTCAGAGCACAAGTGCAGTCACTAAGGTCAGTATGAGCTTTGAACCCAATTCTGTAAAACGTCCGACAATATGGTCAAAGAGGTCACCACTGTGTAACAAATTTAAATATCAAGTTTCAGATTATTTCTCTACTGTAGTTGCCTACTTATTATCATGTACGTTCGAATTCAATATCTAAACTCCAAGCTTCCTTCAACTTGGGATTAATATGTTCACACTTTCCTAACATTTTTTGTGGAAATAAAATATTTCTATTTAAAGAATACCGATTATTTTGTTGCATTAGGTGAATACTCTATCACAGGGCTACTCAACTATTTTTACCGAAGATCCGCAAACAAAATTTCAAAAATATTTGGGTCCGGTCTTTCCAAAAATTATATTTCGTCATCCTTAAACACGCACTTCATCGGCCGACTTATGATTATCAGCTAATCAAGATTGTTTATTATGGCGTTATAGTTCTTTTCATTCATATTTAAATCTATACAAGTGATTTTATAAATGAAAACTTCAAAAGTGGGGCTAATGATCCAAAATAAAGAATTAGGTGCGGTCCGAATCGAATACCCGAAAGGTCCGGATTCGGACCGTGGTCCGCCGGTTGAGTAGCCCTGCTCTATCATGAAAGTATTTTACTATGTAATTTTGTCGGTACGGTCGTTAATTTCACAGCATCCTATACGTCAGGATTTACATGTTTTCATGAAAACATCAAACCAGCTAGTCGCTAGTGATATTTACTTACGGTATTTATATATGTCTTGAATCTGTATTGTAATCTATAGTTTGGGTGTAAAATTTGGTCCCCTAGTCTCTTAACTTAAATATACAAATGTTATGTATAAATTCATATCTCTTTGTGCATTTGCAAATAAGTATCCTCGCTTTATAAAATAACTTTAACATATTTGTTTTATTACAAACATAGTTACGTTATGATAAATATGAATTTATATCTGAATCAGAGAGCAAGTCGAGGGAGCAGATGAAACTCTTTTGGATCAACAATTCTCAACAATGTTGAAAGTGCAAATGAATAAAGATAACATGAAACATGGTCGCCAAAGTATTAAGAAAAATAGAGTGTTGCAGATCATACCATGTGAGTTGAAATTTATCGATAAAAAACAATTGTCTACCAAACTCGGGCCATCGATAAAGCACGCATGATTAGTGCCTTTTATCTATGGAATGTACTCGATTTAGCCGATAATTGTCAGATAAATTTCTTAAACTATGGTATGGCTTTGGAAATGATTTCAATATTTTAAAATAAAAATAATCCAATTTATATTTATGTGTGATACTAACTTGAATAACGTATTTTAATTTGATCTTGATTTTGACTATTTCCACATCTACTAAAAAATATCTTTGTATATAGAAGGGACCAACTCAACTCAAAACTAAACTTGGAAAGAAATTTGGGTTATCAAAACAACCGTCTTTTTTGTTGAATAATATTTTTGAATCTATTTGATAGATATACCTCAATTTAACATAATCATAATTTTTATGTATAATACATCCATCTAGAATTAGATCTATATAATTTAATTTCAGAATTCCTAACCAAATGCACATCCATAGTAATACATGGGACAGAATTTCCATTGCCTAAATGCATGCTTGGTGCTTTATTTGGTGTATACTAATTTGGAATGAATATGACGTTTACTTACCTAAAAAATTACGTTTTCAAAACTTATTAATTCCGTGCCTTCTATTATTTCGTGCTTTAGGCTAAGCAAATGCGTTTCTACTCAACTGGTCATCTAATTCAACCCACTTTGTATGTTATTCGATCATATTTGATACTTTCGGTCAATTAGGTTTAGTGTAGTCACAGGAGCACCAGCCTGAACTAGTACTAATTACTTTCCTTTATTCCACGCTCCTTAACAATATACGTGCAGTGATACCCTGCTGATTTTTCACGATTTGGTACTTTAGCAACAGAATCGAGAACAATTCAAGCTATCTCTTTGATATTAAAGTATTGACAGTGCAAGTATCTCAATTCTTAAAAAAGGGTCTTATTAAAATATAACTTGGTTTATCATAATTCCTGCAAAGTTACATAAGTGCGTGCTTATTGTAACATTTATTTTTGATCTAAAATTCAATACATTAGTAAACTAGAGCATATCCATTGACTTCATAGAGTTTCTTGATTCGAATTTTTCAGTTAATATCTGATTCCATTTTGTGGAATTTAATTTTGGATAGTAGCAAGCCATGCTGAAAGTTTTCGAAATAATACACGTAACTTCAAATTTTTGTTCTATTTTTTTTTTAAACAACAATACCGGATAGGCATAAGGCTGTTTACTAACTCAAACATCACACAAAATCTTTGCGTCATATTCCTTCCGTCAAAATTCCAGCTACCGAGGTCAACCATAAAATGCCGGAAGTTCATTTATCTGCAGCTCAATATCATCACGATGCCAACCTTTCGTGTGTGCTATTTCTCACTGGCTTGTTAGAAATTGTTAAAATTGTCGATTAGGCTTTATTTAATTGCTCCTAAAACAGAACTGTAGTTGTACACTTAATATTTTTTTGGAAATGTTTTTGCGCATCTTACACAGACTTGTTTGTTTGTTTCATTGGCATGACTGGTTGATATATTGAGTATGTAATTTTAAAATTGCTCCGATTCAACATTACAACATCATTTATCGGAATTTATGTTTCAATGCATGTAAGCCGTAAATTTCCTTGATTTGGAAAGTCGTGTTATTATTATATTACGATTATAAAATTGTTCTATTGTTACGTCATTATATATATCATCATTTCGTTTGACTGCAGATGATGACAACAGAGTTACTCTTCCTTTGAAACCAGGACAAGAGAAATCAGATTATATAAACGCTTCATTTATTGATGTGAGTACACATAGCGTTTTGTTTGTAATTTAAATTGTGTGAATCTCACTGATCGAGTTCCGTTCACTGTCGTCATACTTTCGCGCAAGACGATTAACTTTAAACATATTTTTTGCTGGCCGCCTGTTTGTGAAAAATAGTTTGTCTTGATCATCTCACGCGTGTAAGTACCGGTAGTACGTTTACCCTAGTTTTATCTATAACGCACGCTAACTGCTTTTTTAAGTAGTTCAAAACGAGAGGTAGGCCAATTTTGCATATGCATAGATTGGGTTGATTATTGGGATGCACTGATACATTTTGCTGAATGCTGTTACAGTGTTGTTCAGTTGATTCTGTAATCTTTCTTTTTATATCACTCTTATGTACCAAAAAATTTAACACAGATTATATAAGTTGTCTCTTTATACACACATGTATAACACTTTTTTTCTGCAGGACAGAAGTCTAAATAAAAAAGTTTGCTAAAGTATATAAATAAGTATGGATAAATGAAAAGTGGGAAATTTTAATCCGACCTAATAATCAAATAAACATTAACTATTCCATATGGTAAGATTTAGAAAAAAGCATCGCCTTATTGTTCCTTCTCTTCCTGAACCGCTGATTTTGATTTACAGGGATTTAAAGACAGAAGATCGTTCATTGCTACGCAGGGTCCTTTGAATGAAACATGCTCAGATTTCTGGATGATGGCTTGGGTTTACAATTGCCAGAATATTGTAATGCTAACAGGTCTAATGGAAAAGGGTGAGCTCATTGATTTACGTTTTGGTTGCTTCTTAGGCCTATATTTGTAGCAATCAAATGGGTAGATAATTTTCTAGAATATATATATATATATTGTTTGTGACGCGGCATCCGAAAACCTCACAATTAATACCGTTGTAATATATGAAGAAGTATTTCAAATAGGAGAGAAACTATAGCATCAAAAATAGTAAGCGGTTGAAAAATATTTATATACGTGAAAATAACGACGTCGCCAACAAAAAGCATCAAAAACTGAATTATAATTTAATTTATTTGAAAAATATAAAATATATTATCTTAGTATAATATCATGAAGTACTGACTCTTTGTCTAAAAATGCATCGACTTAGATTAAAATTAAATTAAGACAACCCCGTTTTAGAGTTACAGTTGAGACAATAATTGAATAAAATTCTACCCGAAAGTCATTTTTAATGGGCTGGAATAATTTTTTACAGGGCATGAAATGTGTACTCAGTATTGGCCTTCTGAAGTCGATGGTGAAAAAACATTTGGTGATATCACTGTAAAATATGTTAGTAAAGATGATGATGATGTTGTGGATTACGTCGTGAGAGAATTTATAATTACCAACAGCGCGGTAAGTCTCCTTACCCACTCTCGTTTTCTTCCTCACTTATACCATTTTTTTCTATCTTCCCAAATCACTTTATGTCTTCTTGTTTTACAACTAATTTTCTCTTACCGCCTTGTTTTTTCTCTTCTTCATTTTTCTACCTCATTAATATCATTCTCTCTTATTTACGTTCTCTCCTATTATTCTTTCAAGTCTTATTTTCTCTCGTATCTTCACTGAACTGATAATACATTCTTTATCGTATCAGGCTCCAGACGAAGAGGAGAGAAAAATACGACAATTCCATTACAGCGGATGGCCAGAAGTTGGATTGCCATCTGATGCTCACGGAATGATAGAAATTGCTAACAGGTTAAATTCGAAAGATAAAGATGGATTTCCCCGACCATCAATTGTGCATTGCAGTAGTGGAGGTGGAAGAACAGGTAAAGAATCAGTCTTACTCATTCAGACAAAAGCGATGATTATATAGTTATATGAAAAAAAAAAATTGGAGGAGCGCTGCTTATCCATTACATCAATTCGTACAATGTCGTACATAATGCTTTAAATATACAAATTTTACGAGACTGCAGCGTTTTGTGAGAAAAAAAAGCGAAATCGGCAAGAACGAGGAAGAAAGATTTATTTTATATTTTTACGGGATTAATTAAATATCAGTGGTATACTGGATGACGTAAATATGTTGACGTTACAAGCTAAAGATCTAGAAGTTTGATACTAGCTAATTCATTGTCATCTCAATCTACCACATTAGCCTGGATGCTATTTCAAACCACTGTCTTTCCCAAGCGGAACTAAAGTGTCTATACCAGCCCTATGCGTAACAATGATGTAACGTACTTCCCAACTTTCGAAATTACAGTTCATTTTTATCAGTTCATTTTCATCAAATTCAAGTATAAGTAGTTGAAGTATGATAAACAGAAGAATTATTACCAACGAAATTTTTTTTGCCCGAAAACAGCTGGCAAAGATGCGATTTACAATACAATTTTAGTTTTATTTTTTGCCAATAACACACTACAAAAACGGGGATTCCAACAAAACTAACCAATTCGACTAAAATATCGGGACAATAGACAAAATTTAGAAAAAGATTTATTATTCAATTTTGTTTCAGGAGTGTTCATTACGCTTAACATACTGATGGAACAAGCAGACAACGAAGGACTAGTTGATGTTTTCCAAGTTGTTAAAAGCTTACGTGCTCAAAGACCTCATATTATTCAAACTCAAGAACAGTTTTATTTCTGCTATGTAGCTCTGCTGCAATATTTGGAGACCAATCAGGTATAAAGCGTTACTCTCTTAACTCTGTAGGTATTAATTACACTTGATGCACGTTTTTCGTTACTCACATAGCAGGTAATAGACGTTTGACCTATCGCCTGTTCTCAAATAAGCCAGTCAGGACTGTTAAGTTACACTGGGCTGTTTTTTCTTCACTATTTTCAACACTGCAAAAATGAATCTAAGTATTTTTTTTAATATACATTTGCAACTATTATTAGCTGGCGGAAGATAGCACAACACTGACTAGTAATCTGAATTCATCAATTGGAAATCGTTCTCAATCGGTGGCACCATCTAACGGAGGCATACCAATTACACAATTTCTCGGAGTAGAGAACACAACCCCACAAGGATCAATGAATAATAAACTAGATATGAACAGCATAAGTGATCAGGATCTCGTATCCCAAGATATAAAGCCCCCCAGTCCGATAAATGAGCTGCCACCCCCTCCACCGCCAGAATCACCGTCACCTCCCCCACCACCCGAACCACCGTCACCAACCATAGAAGCGACCCCCGAAATAGGGTCACCGGAAAGTCATGGAGCCGATTCAAATCAAGCATTATTAAATGATGCCACAAATTCCGACGAAAATACAACTTCAAACGCTTCAAGTCAAAGCGAATTTGAAATCGTCAACGAAACTAATCAAGACAATGCCGTCAAGGTTTGAGTAAGTTCTATATGAGAGTAGTTTTGCAGAGTTTCAACAAACTGGTGAATCGTCTGTTTCGTTATTGCAGCTTTAAAATGTTAGAGTGGACACTCAAACACTTAAATACTTTTGTATCACACGGTTGCAAAAGGGAGAGAACGAATCCCACTGAATAAAGAAACCTATCAACCGCTTTTTCATCTTCTACGAGAAGATTAAACTGTATCCATTCATTCTATACAGTGTACCCATTTGGGGACAACAGGTCCATACTTTTAGCGGTGAGAGATTTTCTATCTCGAATATCGAAAAAAGGTATTAACATGCATATTACATTTAGTAGTAAAGAATGTAATTGTTTTGAAACTAAATTATTCATTATATATAAATATATTGGGACAATCTTAAGCTATTTCAACACAATACCCCCTGCTCTTAACAATCAACTTTTTTGTTATATTTTATCATGCTATAGCTTAAATACTTGATAACTTTTTCTAATATATAACGTTGCTGAGATTACTTTAATAAAAATTATTGTTAAGCGTTTAAGCACCTTACACAAAAATATCAAATTACGCTATACAGATTGATTTTCCACTGTGTTTGAAATTGTATTTGGCACATCGATTATTTAACCCGGAAAATGAAAAGATATGCCAGCGTTTAAATTGTCATATCAAACTCATAGAATCCTCTTAAAGAAGCAGATGGCAATGCGGCTATATATGGACACAAAGGTAAAAAATGTTCTCATAATTATGTCTTGAAAAGTTATCCAATTAATTAAAATAAAACAGAAAATTTTGTAGTCGAAGTATTGAGTTTCATAAGAAAAATTTCACAAAAATTTAAAGATTCCTCTCATTTTAAATACTGCAAATTTGAAATTAATTGGCCCATTTGTCAAGACAGAAAAGCGATTTTCCTAACAACAACAAGCCTAACAACCTCCTCGAGAACAACAACAATTAGATCCACTTCCTGTCCAATAAATGAGTATTTTACGTATGAGGTTGCGTTCCTTTATATTTGCTGTATACTACTTCACTTTTTGGCTACTATGAATAAAAATTTCAGCATTTCTGTCATTTTTTTATGTTTCTATGCAAATTAGGTAACATTTTCGTGCCTTTTTAGCTGGTTTATTGTTCTTGCTATGTAACGAAAAATTTTAATCACTAATATTATTTTTGTTTAATTTCCGATATTATTAACATTAATATTTTTGTTTACCTTTTTGAGAATTAATCGATGAAGTTATTGTTGTCACATTTACAGCGATCATGTATTGAGAAAGTTCAACTTCATTGATGGGTGACAAAAACTATAGTGACAACCTATGGTTTTTATTTTCGTATACTTTATTTAAAGCACTTCGCATTTTTTAATCATTTTTATTGTGTGAAAAAAACATGAATAATTGCTTACTGACAAAATAATCTTGAATGTTATTATTCATAACTGCTCTTGTCTGCTAACCCGCCTGGTGGAAATGGTTCCTCATACGAAATGGGGCTCTAATTGGCTATGCTATCTCCAATTGCATGAGACATTGTAGGTGGTATGTCCCGACATAATATTTGAGATGAAAAAATTTGAATCCTAATAGAATAATTGATTTCGAACTCAGTCATTATGTTTGGAAACAGGGTTATGGAGTGTTGAAATTTACTCGGAAACCATTTAAGAATTGGATTCGACTAACAACTTTTCTTGGCAGATTTTGATTTCATTTTACGTATGAATGCTTTCTATATTTGTTTATTAGGTTAGTCAATGCCGTGTCCTTCCATTTTATATCAAAAATTTTGATTTCGATTTTCATCATCAAAGGTCTCGAACTCCGATTCTATACCCCAGAAAGTTCAAAATTTTGACTCCGACCATTACACCGATTCCATTCCAGCTCAGACTCTAGTATTATGAAAATATTAAAAACTCCGACTCGACAACGCTGCTTTTAAACCTATTGAAGTCTTTTGTTATAATTGATTGAGAATTCATCGATTCTTCACCTTGACTTTAAGTTATGATATGGAAATCGATCCAAGCGAATAATGACATCAGTAAATGTGATGTAATAGACTGATTATAAAAGATGACAATGACATATAAATATTGTATGCTTTTCTCGTTTTTGAGACTTATGTGTTTATCTATTTATTTTTTCAAAATATGGAGTCTACATTTCTACAGTATATTGTTTACAAAATCGGTTGATAAAAATTGAAAATATTTGAATAATTTTCAAACCTTGTTTTGACACCGAAGTTATTAATAATTATTCTCAAACTGCGGATTTAATTCGTTTCTGCACTTTTTTGCTGTTTTTTTTCTATATTTCCTTCTGTTCAAATATGCGGATTTTTACATTTCTAATATTCTTCTTCAGTTTAATGAGATTATCAATCGTAAGTATCGTTCTTCACTGATTTATTTTATCGCATTTTTCTCTATTTCCACTTTTAATATTGTGTGAAATAGTAAATTTATTATTAATAATATTATTATCATTATTACATAATAAGCAGGTTAAATAAATGCAATGTAATTATTATTAGTTTTGATTGTTTTTAGTCAGATTTGCAATGATGACTTAAACATAGTGGTAGCAAAAATGATGAAGTAACAGGAATTAAAGTATTGTGTGAAAGTTCCTATCGACTGGTTTTCTGCGGAACTACCTATCTTTTTACTTGATTTTTCGCTGGTAAAATGTAACAATGCTGCAGCAAGAGTAAGGAAAATTATTGTAAGTGATTTAAAAGCCTTGCTCCACGATAACCATTGCTGAGCAACTAGGGTATTGAATCACTTTTGTTTTACTCGCATGCTTATAATAAATAACTTGCGACTGGAGCTAGCTCTGCCCATGATTTAGGATGAGTTCGAGAACAAAATGTTAGCTAGCTTACAACTATGCTTTAAAAAATGAAATTGTAATATATGCTGAAGCAGCGTAGTGTCATCATTTTACGAAGCTTCTATTCCGTGCTATTTTTAGTGGACTCGTGGTATACGGAAGACGGCCGATAAAACGATTTCCACAATTGGTATGTGAATAGTTATTTAGTTCAAACTGTTACAATTTAAAAACGTCATTGAAAACCCTAAGCAACAAAGTTGTAATCACACAGAGATGGCGAGTCCAACGAATGCACATCTTTGGTTTATTTAAACATCTTTTTATCGCTGAGCTAATGAATATAATTCTGGCAGTATAGAGGGAAGATTTGTACGAGAAAATAAGTTATATATCGTTGCAAAATTCAGACATCGTTAGAATAGAATAAGACCGTGATACACAATCTACATTGCAGATTCTTCTAAAGCAGATCAATCTTTCGAATAGCGTTACATATACCTTATATTTTATAATAAAAACGTAGTTGCAGGTTTGGAATTCAACTTTATTGCCAGAAAAAAATTGAACTATACTCGAAAAGTCACAAACAATTTTACAATTTAATTAGCCAAAAAAACGCCTAATAAGCTACAATATTCCAATATTTTTAAAAACACTGAAGCTAGTAACATTTTAAAGGTCCGAGAGTATAGTAACCACTATACGACGATGACGAGTAAGCAAATCCGAAATGCATTCCTGTCACTGGAAGAGTATTTTTATCGTACAAATATCCTGCGTCAACTCGAGTTGCGGCATATGATGAAGAATAGTAATCGCAGTTGCATTTATAATTGTAAGAATACCCCGGCTGGCAAGACCCTGTGAACGAATGCATATAAAAATAAATATAGTTTTCAGGTATGAGTGTTTAAGAATGGGACAAGATTTGTATATGTTTTTTGCGAGGTATAACACGAAGAGTGTATATGTAATTCATATGTAATTACCGTTGCTTCTAAATAAGATTCAGTTCTCATTATAACACAGGTCGTATATTTTCAAGGTCTTATTATAAGTGTACCACAAAGTTGTAATTTAGATTCTAGACAACAGTCATGGAGGGTGTGTGTGAAAACTATCGGAAACTTTTGTCTCGTTATGGCACAATTTATTACAGCGTGGTTTGGTTGTCGTGACCCCAAGTCTTAGATCTTAGAAGCAAATATATATGTTATGAAATACCAAAGTAACTGAAGTTACCCGTTTCTCCACAAGCGCAATATCCATCATGATTTGGATCCGCTCCTCCCCAGTATGTCATCTTTTCTCCTTGTCTTGAAATCCACCAAGTGTAACCATTGGACAACATTCCTGTTCTGTAACATTGCCACTGAAATGAAAAAAAAAAGAAAAAAAATTGGGACCGAATCAATATTATCATATTTTAAACAGATGGTGTGATCTAAAAATAAAATTAACCTCGATGTATTGTTCGCAATGCTCGGATCCGTTTATTAGAGCACTAATTTGATCCATTGTTGCGGTGTAATTCACTGCGATATCGTTCTCAGAATAATAACTTAGTTGAGAACTTTGATCTTCCGCGTCGTGGTGTACTACAGTAATACCTGAGAAATACAGATAGAATGTGTTCCTAGTAGTCGATATAATTTTTTCCTGCTATTGGGGTCGAGACAAAAGTGGTATTTTTTAACTAAGTCGACTGACCGCATCAAACTTTTCTAGGCAATAATTTCATTATTGCGTCATGAGTTCGAACAACAAAATCAAAAAAAAATTTGTAAATTAAAAATATTACCAGAAATGATCAAGAAGTCGAAGCCTAGTCGAATTCAGTTTATGTCTCTTACATTATTATTAAAATTTCATAAAATATTCTTATTACTTAGCAAACGAGTCTACCTCACAGAAAAGCTAGCTTTCAGTGCATACTTATGAAAGGTAATTCTTGCTCCATATTATTTCAGGATCACATTATGAATCCTAAAATTCTTGAAATAACCCGGGGAAAAATTGGCCCATATTATAATATCAGTGAACGCTTCTGAATTCTTGATTATCCAAGCTTTCACATATTTTTTTTAACAATGAAAATTGCCATACCTGTGCCAGGGTAGGAATCCATATCACAATAGACCAGAAACGGTTGAACATCAGCTCCTGGTGCAATCGTGTAATCTCCAGATGGATTTCCGTCCGCTTTCAAGCCAGAACAATCTTTCGTACTAACTACAAAATAAATTATCGTGAAAAATGTGTTTTCTAAAATTGCAACCTAGGTCATCAAATTAGTTCACCTTCTCCTTTACACTCCAGTTTTCCAAGCGTGAAATATCCCCTTTCTTCAACTCCTAGGACATCTCCGAAAAACAGCTGCGAAACCGGTAAAGTATCTTTGGAAGTTAGATACCTGAATAAAACGAATGATAAATATGGATTGGGGCGTATTTACTAAGAAACCTTATTGACTTTAAAAACAAAAATAATGTGATTGATTACGATCAATCAAATAGTAAAGAAGAACGGTTGAACTAACGAATGTTTTTAATTCAGCATCATGTTTAAGTTTAATAATCAAAAGCAATGTAAACTATTCGGTCGTATGTTTTTTGTGACTCAATTTGTGCAGCAAAATGCTGATTTGTTTTGTTTTTTCTTCGACTAATGAGATTTTTCTCACTGTTACATTTTAGGGCAAAAATTTGAATTTCAGATTGTGAATAAATTAGTAAGCCGTTCTGTAAAAATTATACGTTGATAAATTTTATTTCAAAGGCCTTATCATTTGAGAGTTTCAGGGCATTCATGTTGAATATACATTACCCGTCATCTTGTCTCCAGACCAGATCATTGTTATCGCAATTACAAGTTGTAGATTTTCCATCACATGTTCCATTTTTTCCACATGCACACATATTACTCCCTAATAGATAAAATGAAAAATTTGTTACTTATGAATAAAGTTGATAAGATGGGATTGAGAAAAAGACAATCTATTATGATCAGAAATATACAATTTACATATCTTATTCTGAAATATAATTGAAAAATATTCTGCTAGCTTGGAAAAAAAGTTTTAAAATAATCATTTTCAGCATTTGAATTTGAAATATGGAAGGGTAGGCCAAATCAAACCAAATCAAACTATTACACGAAAAGTATTGTATTACCCGGATCAGCCCCAGCCCAGTAATGTTGTTCTTCGCCATCTCTTGATACCCACCACGCATAATCATTGTATGAAAACAGCATTGATCCAAGACATTCGTACTGTTGATATCACATGAGAAAAGATTACACAAAGAGTAAATTAGTGCTCTATACCAGAGTGGTGAATGTAATTATGCAAATGAATGGAATTATGGAATTATATAAATAGTGAAATATCTATTTTTCTGCATCGCGAACTCGATTGTTTAAAATCTTTTAAAATAAATGTTCCAAGCCAGAATTCGGCCCATTTTACAATTAGGCCTTATCCAGTTTGGAAAGGCTCGTCTGACTTTAAACTTTCCCCGTTAAGCTATGTTGTATATGGCCCAAAAACGGCATAACCAAAATTATTGCTAAATAATCTTATATTTAATGTTATTCCTGAACGTTTTTTACCTATAGCACTCAGTAATTAAAATACCAAAAAATAGATCTTGCAAGCAACGATAGTAATGAATAATTATTTATACTTTTCACTATTCTGGTTTAGTTTTCGTAAAAACCGCACATTAAAATAAATAAAAATTATCACTTTAAACGCGTTTAGAGCTAAATGATATTATACATGAAGTACATTTCAGTTAAATCAAAAGCCACTTCTGATGAAAGGTAAATTATAAGCTTGACTTATGTAACATACCGACAGATATTGTTGACAGGACCTTGATGTCCACATGACAGATCGAATTTGTTCCCAAGTTTGATCGTATGTGACGTCATGAGAAAAGCACCCCGGATCCTGGCACCCACGTACGTAAGTTCTTTCTTCAGAATCATGTCTAAATTGGTGAACCAAAATCCTCAAATTACGAAGCTTCTAATTAAAAATAATCAGCAAAGGGATGTTAAGTATTGAAAACCAGTGGAATTTACCATTTACATATGACAAATTAGACACTCGGTCAAGTTGTAATAGTATATTGATTTAGGTTCAGTTATACCGGTACCAGGGACAGACAATACAGGTACAATAGCATAACAGGCATTTTAAAAAACTCCTAATGGAGGCCTCATTTAAAAATGATGATCTAAAGTTTCCCAAGAGGGAAGGAACTTTTACTTGAAAAATTTTACTTAGTATTTGCGTGTAGCATTGTAAAATTCTACCTATTTTGTAGCATTATAATGTTTATTTATGTTCAATTCAAATTTCATTCATAACGAGGCGGGATCAAGATCTTCAAAATAGGCAAAGGGCGGATTGCATCAAAAAAGGTTTGGAACCTCTGATCTAAATCGTTAATATAAATAGATGCATAGACGTACAAGGCTAACCTCTAAATAAAAACACAAAAAATAAGTTACCCCAGCATCGTGATTGCCCACTCTGGATCGGAGGTCATGTCGCAATAAACTTGGAAGGGCGGTACGTTACCTTCTGGGCCATCCGGATCTATGTCATAAAAACCGGATTCGTAGTTCATGAGTTTGTATTTTTCGCATGATGTTTTTGCTGTAAATATAAATTTGATATTCAACGCTCGCCTGTAGTTTGTAGAAGAGTAATTTTAAATAACGGTTTAAAATATAATAAAATTGATTAACTTACGACTTGTAAAATTGATAGTTTGTTCGATTTGTTCTACTTGATCCTGCAAACCTGTGACTTGACTTTGCAACAATGCAAGCTGTTAAAACATGTCGTATATGAATAATATATAAGTGAAAATCACCTATGTCATGTATTTTATGGGAAAAGCATTCAATCGTCCAAAATGAGTCAAAATGGAACTTTACTTATCATTCTAACTGTAGGAAATTTCCTTAAAAAAACTTCAGTTGATACTTGCCTGTTCATTCAACTCATCAATTTGACTTTGCATATCAACACAACATTGTTCATCGATGGGTCCCGAACCTGAAAACAATAAATAATTAAAGATTAAAACTGCAATAATAACTGAAAAACTGATGATAATTCACGATTGATTTACAATTAAGTGAATAAGCTACAAAAAGAAAATATGAGAAACCCTCATATATTATTACCAGAACCAAATTCTTCGTACGACAAAATACCGTCGGCTTTCGTTCCATCTGTCCATAAATACAACGCAATCAGCAGAATGCCGAATCGCATCATAGTGCGTTTATTTCAGTTGCCCGAACTTTAAATTTTACTTGTCGAATAGTTGATTCCTCAACACAAATTGAAATCTGACATCTCAGCGCACAATGAGTCGATTTATACATAACTCTAAACTGTGTTTAAAAAAAAGTGCGAAAGTGTTAAGTCATTCCTAGACCCACGTTCAACGATTGAACATTATTTGTATTTATTTTTGAGTCTATATTTGTAGCGTTATCAAGTCGATACCATGGTATCGGTTTGACAGTTGCTAGGATTCCCATTACCTCACAATTGTTCTTTCTAGTTGCATAATAGAAAATTGCGAAATGGAAATCCCTTTCCCCTAATTTCAAAAAGACACTCCACTCTCTCGTTCAAAAATATTTGAAAAATATGACGTAACACGCAAAGTTGAAATAGAATAAAACAATATTCTACCAGTGCAGTGGTTCAGACCTACATTGCATCCGATCATTTTAAAAACAACAGCCATATATAAAACCTTATTTTGTATAATTACGATCGAATTTTATGCACATACTTTGAATGTGAAATTTTTTGAAATACGTTTATATACTTCTAATCCAAGCACGCGGCGCTTGAAAAGTTATCTCAATCCTTGATGCTGAACTATTTTGTTTTAGGAAATATCACGCTTTATTTTGAAGTCATTTTAGCATATGTGAATCAGTTTGTAAATAACAAAAGCCTTAAATATATGGACCAGAATAATGATCGTCATACAATGTCACTCATAATTAAACGTAGACAACGCCTCAAATAGGATTGTGTATGCGTACTATTCAAAGTTTCAAAGTACTAAAATCCTATTTAAAATATTCCCGTCTTGATCTAAACCTCTTTACTCAGAGCAAATAATTGAGGTAACGCATATAAAAAAACTTTTTGGGTATTTTTAGCAGCATTTGAAAATTACAATTTTGTACATTTTGTCAGCAATTTTACCCAATTCTTGTGACCCGATGTATCGAGAAGTTAATTCTCAAAATTAAGTCTCAGAAGTAATTATTAGCTACAATATTGTATAACCCTGGAAGGCAAATCGATTCGTTTGACTCTCGCCCCTTAATCGAACGTACAAGTCGACTCACAACAAGACCGCGTACGACTTCACTGTGTTTGTTTTGTGGCAGCCACTATCTATTATCATTTCTCATTCGCTGAGAAAGACTGCAGCTGTTCCGGCGAGACTGAAGTTTCGACGTGTTTAAATATCTTATTCCGCCATGAAAAAGGAACAAAAAATTATCAACGAATGCTTATGTCATCGTATCAATTGTAGCAATAAAAGTCAGACAAAGTCTGAATCGCGTTTCATTTTGCTGTGAGTTTCACAAGGAAAACTTCCGGGTTCAGAGGTGATAAAATGAACAAGATAGTACTGTTGTTTCTACTGGCGGTCACAGTGAAAACTTGCTCGGCGGCATCGGTCACTACTTCCAAGCTGAGAACGACACTTAGAGCAAAAACGACTACAGGTGTAGTACATTATTACCGTTATAACCAGAAACACCATATACATGTTTCTGGTTTCTTATTTAAGCTTATTTTCTACAGCTCTTTCGACAAGTGGGCCATGCTGTCCATCGTTGCAATCGGAGCTGGACCGTCTCACAGCCGAGGTAAAATATATGGGATATTATTATAATGTAAAGAATAATTGACAAGAAACAACTATGCTTTGTGATTTTACTATGTAATAGAATCATTTGTTACGTATTATGGATTGTGAATATAGTGCCAAAAGTCATCAACATTTTCGGTAGATGCAGATCGAATCTCAAAGCATTTGTCGCTTACTCGATGAGATGTCTGTTTTTGAACAATATATAACACCAATTTTATTGACTAATATTAAGTTAACAACATATATATATATATATATATGGAAGCAGTCATCCATAAATTCCAATCCTAATTTTTTATAAATATTGTGTTCGCAAATTTAGATAGCAGCATTACAGCAAGAACTAATAGGCTTGCAAGACGAAGTTGATAAAGTTGAAACCACGGTAAACTATAAAGACGGTAAGAATCCGTTTTATATCTGTTTGCATCCCAATAAGGGTTAAGATTTTTATTCAATGTTCATTGTTAAGGACTAGGACATGAGTTACTTTTTTTAAAGACTCAAAATGACTAAACCATTTAAACTACATACTCCAATCGTCCCAACTTGAGTCGCGAATGGTACCCAATCGCGATTTGTACCCAACAATGGCAATGTTACCACATATTCACAGTGCCACCCGAGTGTAATTACAATCCAATTTTGAGTGAATAAAAGTGCTTTAAATAAAAAAAACTATTTGGTTATATGATTTTTTCAACTCGAATCAAAAATCATACAAAAAAGATGGAAAAAATCTTCCGCTTGTAGACGTGTCTATATTAATACAATACTAGCTTTCTGAATGTAGAGACAGTCACTAAACCAATTCATGATTCAATATTACCTTTTTATACGTATTTTCCAGCGAAACAATCATGTGACGAGTTCAAAAAGATGAAACTTTCGTCCGGTTATTACGATATTGATCCAGATGGTTCCGATGGTGAAATGGCTCCGTTCGAGGTTTATTGTGATATGGACTCGGATCCTGACTGGGCAACTACTATGTTTGCGTAATATTCTTCATTTTATTTTTTATTCGAAGACATAACTAGAAATCAATCCACGTAACGTACATAGCAACTTTACACAAATTTTACAGCCATGATTCTGAAGATCGTACACTTGTTACTGGATGTCAGAATCCGGGTTGTTACTCGCGAGATGTGAAGTATCAACAATCTTGGAGTCAGATAGAAGCAGTGATGTCTACATCTGAAAGTTGCCAACAATATCTCTCGGTACGTTCTAGTAGTTTATACTTTATATATATTCCCAGTATGAATATCACCAACACCAAGATGTATATATATTTTTAGTACGAATGCCTTGGATCAGCATTATTCGGATTTGCTGATTTTGCTTGGTGGGTTTCAAGAGACGGTGCAAATCAATATTACTGGCCCGGAGCTGATCCAGGTACAACTTTTTCTCTTATTTAAATAAATGACCGTCTTTTTTAATGAACTGTTTATAACAGTTGGTGCATGTTATATCGTATCGTTCTTTTAGTCAACCATAGACTTCGTGTAAAATCTAGCCTATATTCTTATGCTGTAAACACTGAATTAGTAATGCAAGCTACAAACTCTTGATAAACCGTTAATCCTGCCACCTGCATGTCTTCCAAAAATTAAAAAAAATTAGCTAAAGAAAGGCTTTAACAGGGTGCTACATGTCTATTTAATAACTTATGAAGATCTATTTGTGGTCTCGAAGAAATATAAAGATTATTAATCGAATCATTCCTGCAATTAATTTATGCTTCCTCGAACCTAAATGTAATATTTCAATAAAGGAAGCAAAATGTGCGCATGTGGCATGAATGGAAATTGCAATGGAACATCAACCACTTGCAACTGTGATAACAACGACTTTGAGTGGAGACAGGATGATGGGTAAAAATATTACATCACGTGATAAACTACTCAATTTTAAGTTAATTACTTATCGATTTTAATCGATGTTGATAGGTATTTGTCTGTTTATCTGTCTGTTTGTCTGTCTGTCTGTTTGTCTGTTAAATGCACGCGATATCTCACGAAAGTAAGATTCGATCTGCTGCAGATTTTGTATGTGCATTCAACATATCTCGTACCAGTAGCCTATTGATTTTGGGCAAATTATGTCGTATAATTAGCGAGTTATTAATTAATTAGTGATGGGACACAAGGTGTCACTATGGAGTAAGAGCGCTGTTTTGGGGATCCCCTAACTTTCGATCGATAAGTCTTCGGTCTCCGACCGATATTCTCGTTTAAGTTTTAATTGCTTCACAGTAAAACAATTCAGTATCTTATTTAAGATACTTTATGTGACCTGGTACTTTACCTTGTTACCGTTAAGTTTGAATCCCATCTAACAAATGTCAGAGTTGGTAGGTTCAATCATTGAATTGTTTCTAGTTATTCTATTGGCAATCATTCATGTCTTGCGTTTTTGCTGTGGTAAAATAAGCCATGTGGAATATGCCGAATTGAAAAACTCCGTCTACAACTAGCCGCCAGATTCGTCATTGCCGGCACCGTGCCGGCGGCACGTATGAAAATCTTTATAATCGATAGAAAAAACCCGTAGTACAAGTTGTTTGCACGTCTAGTCCGTCTTTATTTTAAAAATCGTAGACAACCAGACAGACACGTGGTCATTGTTTCTATAGATATTTCAAAAATAAAGCAAAACTCCCAGTGATGCAAGTGAATTTTGGCGACGTTTTGGGAGTCGACGAACGTGGATATTTTACGCTCGGAAAACTAGAATGCAAAGGAAAAGGTATTTGTCAATTATTCTCCTTTTTTATTTACAAGCCAGTATTGGTAACAATAAATTTTTGTTATATTCTATCTCAGCAAGCATTACAAACTGCGCTGGTTTAAAACGTAGTGGATATCCGTCGGGCTATTACAACATCGAACCAAACGCAAACGTAGACCCGTTTAACGTCTATTGTGACATGGATTCTTATCCGGGAACAGGTGAGATGAATAGTTTTGAATCAGATTATATACTTTTGAACTTTTTAATTTTGATAAATAATATATATATGTACAAAGTAATGCCATGGTAATAAGTAATTATAATTGGTGGGAGTTCATTTGTTAGGTTTACATTATTACTTTTGTGCAAGTTTGAGTTATATCTCAACATGTGTGGGTGCCACTTAATATTACAAATTTCTAGAGTAACTAATGTATTCTTAGAATCTTACAATTAATTTTTCGTTCAATTATATTTATTTAGGTATTACCGAGATAAGTCACAATAAACCTAGTGGCAGCTTGTCTTACTACAGCAATACCAGCGTTGATGTATCCTACAATAACGCTACAATGGATCAAATAGAGGCTTTGATAAATTCGTCCGAAAACTGTGAACAATATATCAGTGTACGTCATTTTTTACAAGGAAAGAGAACTGAATTTTTTTTTGACTTCTTATGTGATTTTACGGGAATAGCAAAAATTATTATGAACTTTCTTTGATGCAAAACCATGCTTTGTACGCAACTTCCTTGTATGACCTGGCGACGGCTTTCATTTACGGTACCTTAGCAATACATGGGGAGCTTTGTAAAAATCATAGGCGCTCAGTAGCTCTCAATTTGACGTGCTTGATAAAAATATAACATCATTTTTGATTTGACACAAAGCAAATTGATCACTATAATCTTTGGGAGTTATACTAAAGTCAATTCCATGCGTGAACCAAACTTGACCTCATAACAGTTTTTAGCATTATTTTCAGAGTTTTTGTATATTTTTGAACTGGATTACAACACTTAATCAAATATCTAGTTTAATGCAATATGTTCATATGTCCAATTTTTATCATCTATTCAGTGGCGATGCTACAGAACAGGAATGTTCAGCAATGGACATACTTGGTGGCTTTCTCGCGATGGAGAAAAAATGACATACTGGGGAGGAGCGAGACCTGATCACGATGGATACTGCGGCTGTGGCGAGATCGGTAGGTTTAATATAATATGTTAAAGCTTAGCAGTTACTGCAAACAAACTCTTACTGCCAAATCCAATAATAGATATGACTGATTTAAGCGGTCAGACCTGCATGACCCTATGGCACTAATTCGGTGATAATATTTCGCAAGTAGGGCCGGACATTTCTAATCGAATAATAAATTATTCTAATCCGCTCAGACGAAAATTTCGAATTGCCGCCATTTTGTTTCTGTTTTCTTGCGAAGGCAATTCCTCATATTTTTATTGAAGTCATATTTAACAATGTCGTTTTAATATGACTCTTTTTTTACTAGTCAATTACTGATGAAACATGCTCCTTATTGTGTGTGAACACTCAGTCTGTCTAGATTAGTGTGTTTTCAGTACTCTATGTGTCTGGAAGACCAATTACGACGAAAAGACACATATAATTTCATATCCAAGTATTCGAGCTTCGATTCGACAAAAAATATTCGATTCGATTCTGAAATCAACGGGTATTCGAAATGCCCAGCCCTATTCGCATCGGTGACACGTAGTTCTGGAGCGCCAAGCGTGACTTTGCATACTATTCTTGACTATATATTTAACTACAGGTTAAATTTCACGAAACTACGAAATAACCACTCGATGTATTCTCTTAATCAATTAGTATTATAGATAAATTTTTCTATTTGTAGGAACGTGTTTACCTGGATACTCATACAAATGCAACTGTGATAATTACAACGATGGAACGACAAGAGTAGATGCTGGTTATCTCTACGACAAAAGTACTCTTCCAGTAACCCATATGCAATTTGCAATGGATTATCACTACTACTACGGCTATGGCAGCAGTGAAGGATATTACGAGTTGGGAAATTTGCGGTGTTACTGATGACATTTTTGAAGTTCTAAATACCGAAAATGATTTAAAACGTAAACCTCATTTGATAGTTGATAATAATTTGAAATAATTTTTCGAGCGGTTAAAAACTGCATATTGACTAATCAGTTTCAAACAACAAAAATATTCAACCATAAATTCAATATAGTGTGTCATCATTCAAAGCAGAGAGGATAACTATCTATCAATCAAAATTATCTGACTTGCAATATATTTTTCGGCAACTATTTATGTTTATTTTGCTCAATGACTAATTAAATTGTGGTGTATAATCGTCCAAACAACAAAACAATCTGTACTTTTCCAAGACCACTTTATTTGCTCTATAGACAATTTCCTTTATGAAAGAAACAACATATAGTGCAGAGATCAATGAAAGCAAAAAAGAGTTAAAACAGCGATAAACTCAAAATTGAGAAAATGGTGGTTATTTTACAAGAATTATTTGAAACAGCCAAACTGAACTGACAAACGTTGTCCTGTACTTTGATACTTGACAGAGAAATACTGAAGTGTACGGGATGCATAATATAAGAGTAAGGCAAATTGCATTGTTAGACACATGAGAGTGATGCTCAAATATATGGACACGAAAACTAAATTGAAGCAGTAGTCTACCTTACCTTCTACACCATAGGTTCTCAAAGTGCTCCGTACGGAGCCCCAGGGCTCCGCGAGAGTAACCCAGGGGCTCCGCGAGCTATTCGATTACTTTTCAAAATACTGACTTGGCTAATTTAAAACTGTTTCTAGAAGCAATACTAGCTTTGATGAAATTTGACAAATATAGCCTCGAAATATGGCAAAGGGGCGGAATTAAAAAATGACATTATTTATAAGCAGGAGCGCAGCCAGGATTCTTAAGAGGGAGGAGGTTCAAAATTGAAATCGGAAATTTACGCGCAACATTCTTGACGATTCAAAAAAAACGGATAACGAGATCTCTGTTGCGTAAAATATTCAATTCATGACCGATGCGAGCATCTAAAGGGTCATGTCGTAATAATTTAATTGTGCTCATCGTTACTCACATTCGATTCGAAATTACTATTAGGATTACTAAAATGATAAAATACTAGTCAAAAATAACATAAACTGCGTGATAAACTGCTAACTATAAATAAAATGGAGTCGTATTTTTGCGATCTTGGGATTTGTTAAACTTTATTTGTTCTTTCGCACTCGAGATTATTTTTAAGCAAGATGTCGCCGTTTGAAAAATCACAAGGTCTTGGCAAAATACGAACGATAGAAATTTATTTTAGTGCATGCGGCTCTGTCGGTAGTTTCAGAAAGGAAAAATGGTACATCGCACGCATAATTAAATGACTGTGTTTCAATTTCGCAGTTACTACGATGAATAACCGAAAACCTAACATAACACCAAATTTTATGATTTTCGATGTCTATAACAGCGTTTTTATTCTGACGTGAGTCTGCTGAAACAAAACTTATAGTGTTATCTTCCATTTTAAGTTTTAGTTCTAATATTTTAGAAGGCCGCTTTTTAATCAAGAAATTTGAATTGCAGATTTACCTCTTTATTAACTATTATTTTTAGCATTTCGTCGCCGATGATTATAATATGGTAACATGTTTTTCACATTGAACTCATAATTCCCCACGAGAAAGAAAAAGCAATTATCGTCGTCATTGTGGAACAATACATGCATATGCCGAAGGAAATTTTTTATTTAGGGAGAATAAACACCGGCGTAAAGATGTTTGAGGTTCAAAAACACGCCATGCTGACGAAAACAATCGGCGATTGTAACAAAATGCAATCGCGCACGTTATTAGCAGCCTTTTAAGTCTTCCAAAAATGTCAAGAGGGGAAAAGATTCGACCCCTAATTTATTAATATGTTTGTCATGTGTCAAATTTATAGCTTTAGTATATTATACAATTTATCTTTGAAATTTAGATTTATTTATGACTTGTATTAACCCTATTAAAAGTGTTTAGTATTTAAATTGAGTAAAGTACGTTTAACTTACTCAGGAATATTAATCAGAAAGTAACAATTTTAACATTTATTTTGGGGCTCCGTGAATAATAGTCAACCTTTTCAAGGGCTCCGCAACGCAAAAAGTTTGAGAACCCCTGTTCTACACTATAGAATCTACAGTATCGGTAGCGTCATAAAACTTTCGCGTAGCGAGAGTGTAGCACGAGAGAGGTCGAAGAACCGCTACAAATAACTTGTATATATTAATTTTTTAAAGGTGATCATACAGAATTTCGAAGTGAAAAACGAATCACATATTGTCCACTAAAAGTTTTGAAATAAATAAGAGTAATAGACCCTTATAGGGAAAAATACAATCTTTAATCACTGAAAATTTCAAAGCAATTGATCCAGTAGTTAATGGGAAAAGCGAATTTATTTATACGGTGACAACGAGAAGAAAAATAACAACAAGAACAACAGCATAATAACAAAACAATCTATAGGTGCCCTTTGTATACATTGCTACTCTAATACTAAATTGACTATGTTAGACTATGCTAAATTGAACCTAATTTTTAGACATTTTATACTTTGGTAGTTAGCCATTCGCGATACAGAGTTATCGTCTGGAGCTTTGTAGCAACACATTTCTTCAATATATCCGACTCTTGGATATCGACAATCAGAGTCCTACCACCTACGTGCCTTTCGATACCACAGTATGCAAATCCAATCGTGAATGAAATGTATTAGAATATTAACAATTGCAATGAATGATAGCACTTAAAATCTTCAAAGAATTCGAAAACTATCGAGTTATAGATGTTCTTAGTTTTGTTTTGGTTAGCCTGGTCGTTTCAAAAAACACAATAGCATAACCAACACACCACAACTTCATGTCTTAGGCTATTAGAAAACATAAACGATCTCTAGGCACTCACAACTGTAAGCTAGTAATCAGTCACTATCTATACAAATTTGCACTATGCTAGTTAATTCTAAAGTTCTAGGGTTTGTTCCCTGGGTAAAGGTTGAGGAATAGCACACACGAATCTTGGCTAGAGCAAAATCGAATGTATCTAAGGTTAAGCATTGGTATTTTGTTTATTTATTGCAACCATGGTATTTCAAAAACTGTTGAAGTACTATCCTAATTGTAAGATTCTTTAGAAATATTGTTTTGGTTCACAGTTATATGTAAGTGTATTGGAAATAGAAATAATAAATCCTGATACAAAAAATAAAATGAAGTTTAAATCAAAAGTGTTTAAGAATAAAGAGCATTATTATTGCACCGACGAAAAAATACTTACGGATACAAAAAGATTTAGGAAACATACAAAATTGCATAATTTTGCTCCTATAATGTTATGCAATGCTATAAAATACGAATGCAATCATTCTATCAAAACGCATGGTAATATGAATTTTGTATCAAAAATTTTATTGAATAGTGTAAATATCTGTATTGTATTATGTATTACAATGTGTACTCGACATATGAAAGCTTCAGCCGCATTTTTTTAGTTTGCAGCTTTAAGTATGTTAGACTGCATCAGGGACTGTACTGTGTCGACTACTCTTTCTTCATTGTTCAATTTCAATAAACTTCCACGGAATGAATTGTCATACACATGTACGAATACATGGTTGTTGTCAATACTGGAAATATCTATTGATTCACTGATCCCAAGCAATTCGTGTTTTTTCATCAAACATTTATGATTTAGACCAGGGGTTCCCAACCTTTCTACCTTGGCGGACCGGTAAAATTAAATATAAAGTACTCGCGGACCGGCAAAAATTGAAATGAGTGGAACAGAAAATAATAACATATATTTGCGTAATAAAATGCAGTGCTGGGCACACAATATGCGTAAAAAAGGCACACATATCACATAAAAAATATTTACAAAAACTATTAACTCCAGTGAGAATTTTGCTACGGTTTCGTTTCCAATACAGGATTGCAAACGAGGCATCAAAAAAACACGTAGCTCTGCAGTGGCTAGCAGTCAATTTATTTGCTTCGTTTTAATTAAAGCTAGAAGTAACTGGTTGAAAACTCGGACAACAGTTTGATTGCTCGATTACTTAGCGATAGGTATTCGTTATCAAGAGAGCTCAAGAATGAATTGTGACAATGATTCTTTTATAAATCTGGACTGTAAAGTAGAGGTTTCATCGGGTTCATTATATCAATTCCTCTGCAGTTGATCGACGCCCCAAACAAAATGAATTTATATTACAACGATAAAAGTCGTTGCTAACTTGGCACCAGGCTCAAAATCCTGCTGTGCATCACCCGAAAAATATCTCAGCGGCCACCGCTTTTGTTGGCGTCTCGTGAACACCTGCAGGAGCACTTGCAACAAAAATAAACGCAGAATTGTGGTTCAATTATCGGATCATTTTAATGTTTTCAACAACCACCAATGAAGATACAATGTAGCCTATTTTTTGCGGTTATTTATTGTTATCTCTATATACTTTCATACTTTTCTTTATTAAATTTTTTGAATCCATAATAACAGTGTGTACCTGTATTCTGCATCAAATGCTGTATATTCTTCAAAATCGTTGAAATCAACTAGAAGTTTCCACGTACCTTTGTTCGTGAGTTGATGAATATTTTTCAATCCTGTATAGCAAATGTTACAATAGAGGCTAGTTCTGATAGCTTTTATAAACAATATAGCCTACAGTATTACATTGTACATTTTTGACATAGCATCCAGTTTTTTGATTTTGTAGAACGCCCCGCCACTGACGCAAAAATATAAGATTTTAGAAAAATGCCTTCGCCATGTTTTAAAATAAAAATTAGTAACTATTTAGTTAGGGTTCGGGTTGGGAGGAATTTGCATTTTCATCGCAATCTGCATTCTAAACCGCAACCCTTATTGAATAATTACTAATTTTTGGAGTGGTGGCGGGGTTTTTTGACAGAGGCATTCTCTAAAATATTCCATTTTTCTTAAATCTGTCGTTTGTGTAACTTGAATAATTTAAAAACAAATCGGAAACTTTTCAGGAAACAACAGTGTGATCTCCTATAATGTATGGTATATATGTACTATTTATACGCCAATTTGTATACTAAAGTAGCATCCATAATATTTTTTGTTTTGAATGATACTTTAAAATTAT